TGCCATGTAAATACCCAAGGGTATTTTTTTGTGGCTGTTAACATCTACTATACAAATTATTTTTCTGGCATCATAAGCTCAGTGGTTTCCTCCCTCCAAAAACAGGACAGTGAAATAAATACCAATCCTTTTCTTGTGTCCAGCATTCATTTCCCTACTGTTCCTTCTACAACTCCTCTCTGCCTGCTTCTATTTTGTAAAATGTGCAACCAGATTGCATTGTTCAAATAACACAGTAAATGTAGGAGTTTGCCTTTCAAAACAGATTCTGCCCGGGCCCTTCCCCAGCCATTTATTCTGCTACACTGGATTATATTTACACAGTCAGTTGGCTAAGTAAATAATGAATGTGGTAGGGTTGCTGGATCTAGCAGCACACAATCACACTAACAGGGTCAGTGGTTTCCACCTGGGGAAACACCAACAGTTCAACACGTGGCCTATTGTCACAAAGCAGTACTGCTCCAAGCTTTAGTCACATCAAAGATCCTTTCCCTATTGGCTACGTGAGCAGCAACCTGCAAGATTCGTGCGACTGTTAGTGACTGTTCAAAGTTACAACAGCACTGAAAACAGTGATGTATGACTGTTTTTCATACTTATGACCATTATAGCATTCCTATGGTCACGTGATCAAAATTCCTGGCAACTAATTCACATTTATGACGGTTGCAGTGTCCCTGGGTCTTGTGATCACCTTCTGTGACCTTCTGACAAGCAAGGTCAATGGGGAAGCCAGATTCACTTAGCAACTGTGTTACTACCTTAACAGCTGCCGAGATTCACTTAACAACTGTGGCAAGAAAGGTTGTAAAATGGGACAAAATTCACTGAACGTATGTTTCGCTTAGCAAAATAAATTTAAGGCTCAATTGTGGTCTTAAGTCAAGGACTACCTGTAGTCCTCAACTTACGACTATAACTTGGACCAGAATTTCTATTGCTAAGCAAGGCAATTATTTTATTTGTATCCTGTCTTTATTATTTTTACAAATAATTCAAGGCAGTGAACTATCCAACACATCTTCTTCCTCCTGTTTTCCCACAATAATCCTAGGAGGTGAGTTGGGCTGACAGTGGCTGGCCCAAAGTTACCCATCTGGCTTTCATGGCTAAGGTCTCCTGCTTTCTAACATGGCTCAGGAATTCTGGGAGTTGAAGTCCATGAGTCATAAAAGAGCCAAGGTTGCCTACTCCTGCACTAGACCAATCTGGCTCTCTCAGATAAATTAGTAATGATTAATTTAAGTATGTCCTTTAAAAGACAAATCACCCTGCTACTTCTTCTGATTATTTAAGAAGACATAGAAATATAACCAATTACATCTCTTTTTTTATAAACTTATAAAGTGATGGAAAAAATATTAACCGAATCTATATATCAACTTATCTAATGATAAGCCCCAATGAGTATCCTATTCATACACATCCAATTATACTAATCATTACTGCAGTGTTAATTTGAACTATGAGTCAGCATGGTTTTTTTTTTAATCAAATACAGATATAACGTCCACATCCCAACTCACCATTTTTCTGTCATTGGAAATGAAAACAGCATAAAATTCTTCTAAAGGGTATTGATTCTTGCTTCGGATATATTCACAGAGCTTCCAGATATTTTCTTCACTGCAGAGAAATAAAAACACCAGTTCACACATTTTTAAGATTCCTTCTGCTACTAAAATCTTAATTTTGAGTATGCTTCCTGATATTAAACCTTTTCAAGTTATTGTGTATTCCCACCTTCTATTCAATTCATTCTCTCTTCTCCACTATTGTATAGTTGGATATAAATTACTTTGAACCAGGGTTTAATTCTGCCAGGGTATGTATACATTTTGTATACATCTACTTTTTTTTTTACCAGAGATACCAAAAATGAAATGCTCAATAAGAAAAACAAACAGGATTTCAATCATGAATGGAGCAAAAGCAAAGGATAGCTTTGAAGGTGTAACATCAAGCTGATTAAATAGGTTCCTTGTTTTACCCAAAGTTTTTCTTTGAAGACATTTCTCTTCTCATCTAAGAAGCTTCTTTAGCTCTGACTGAATGGTGGGGAATGGAAGGATTTATATTCCTTGCAGACAGCTGGTCATTTGCATTCTTTTAGAGAGTCATTGAGGGCATTTGAAGATTTTTCTGTGTCCTGAGTCACCTGCATAGTGCAAGTGTGTGTGGAACTTTCTTGGTTGCAGGTTGTTTTCTGCCCTGTGTCCCTTCACTGTTGAAGACATGCGCAGGCTGTTGGGGATGAGTCTGGGTTGTCTGCATCTCAAACTGAAGCACAAATGGTTCCTATGGTCTGCAATGTTTTCTGGAAATCCGTTCATACTCCTGCACCATTTGAAGGGTGTTCATCCCAAAGTGCATAGCTAAATGTCTATGGAGATTCTCAGGTCATGGTTGTCCTAAAGAAAAACGAAGTCCAGTTGCCTCCTTTGGGATAACCATGACCTGGATGATTGAGAAACCCCATAGACATTCCTTGTTTTATATTACCATTATTAACTGTATTATATTAATCTAAGCTGGTCCTGCATCAATTTGTGAGCACATAGTAAATCAAACTTTCTCAAAAAATGCTTCCGGGTTGTTTTGAGGGCTGGGGGAACTTCTGATCTAGTGGCACCAGCTGCCCTACTAAGACTTTCTGGAAGGATAACTGCGATCGCTAAGTCTTATGATACCTTCCGTCCTCCCTTCCGCTTTCTTACCAATAGCAGCTTGTATAAACGCAAACGGATCGAGAAGGGACGACTGGTTGATAGGCAGCCTGAGCAGCCTCCACCTCCGCCATTGAAGCCCGCTGTTGGATGGCCAAGGGAAATTATTAAGGGATTCATTTCCCGAAGAAAGCCTGAACAAGAAGCCGCTCCTCTCCGGCAACGGAGGGCGGTTGAAGAAGCATCGCTCCACGCGTGCTGTTCCGAACGTCCTGGGGGGACGCGTTACAAGGAACGCCTTCCCCCGGAAACGCGGCTGCCTTACAAGGCTACTCGACCCAACCAAAGGGAAACCGAGCCAAAAGGAGACGAAGAGGTTAAGCAAGATTGTCGCAACACCGGTGTGTGTTGCGCGCTTAGAATACGAGTCTCTGCAGTTCGCATCTAAATGCGACGCCGAATCTTGTATTAGCGCAAATGAACACCCAAAATACTTTATAGCTTTCGAGTTAGTGTCAGTTGTGGAGCTTGGTCTCTCCTTCCCCTTCTCACCCGTTTTACCGCAACATTGCTTAAAGTGCTCACTACGCTTTAGGTAAAGACATCGTTATGTCTCTCCAGTCGTGTCCGTGCTAAAGTTATAAGCATAAATATCAGACCTCTAAATCCATTTCGTTCTAAGTGGTATTGGGACTACAATTTCCAATCAATGGTCTTTGGCTATTGGGAAAGTCTGGAAGTTGTCTCTCGGATAAATAAAGGGCGCTAAGTCGGAGACGTTTGTTTTACACTTGCCTAGGAGTAAAGCCTCAACTACTCCCGAATAGCATGTGGACAGTCGAGAAAACAAACCAATGGATCGTTGAACAATTCAAAGTTCCCACCGGAGGCACAAATGACCAGGCTCCAATTATCTATCTCGGGTTACATTATGCGAGGATCCTGCCCTTTGGAAACGGCTCTAGCGCTGGTAAAGATAGAAAAGCTTTTTCGTGCTTGCCAGCTTTTACCTGTTATAGATTTTATTATAATTGATTGTCCACGGTTGTTTAAAGATGGATGACATAGTTTAATTCATCATCACCTTGGAAAACCAAATGGAAGAGAAAGAGGTTTTAATTTTCAGGGGAACATAAAAACAAATGTGTAAAATACAACCCAACAAATACAATCCAAACAAATACTTGCTGTTGTTACTATTAGTGCAACATGTAAATAAGCCACGTAATTCCACCTTTCAAATACTTCTGCAGGGCGTTGCTTCTGCACCTTTAACAGCAGCTGGGTACGTAGAAGTCAAACAGGTGAAGCCTTTCCCGACAGCAAGGTAAAGGGATTAGCAAAGTCCCTCCTGTTGTCTGAAAGAAAATGAGGCTCTTTGTCAGGTTGTAGAGAAGAGTCAGCTTTCTGATCGGATTAAGAAAAATCTTTCATTTGGGAATCAACGTTCCTGAGTCCGCCAAAGCCTCTTCAGTAAGGAAACATTTTCATTTTTAACTGCTGTGGGAGAACTGCTTGGTTAGGGAATAAAATTAAGGGAATACCACTTTGGTTAAAGGGACACATGTCAGGGCCTACTCCGTGTTAGTACCCTGCTTCCATACATTGTGCGAGACCTTGGATGCAAGCTCTGCTTGGCTCCATGGGATCTACAAGGAGGCGTAGTAATCTCAGCGATCAAGGGATCTCATGGTGGGGCTATAAAGCTGTTACAGAATGGGGGGGGGAAGCTGGTTTCTTTTTGAACATAAAATTAACTCTGATCGGCCCCTTAGTGAAATTCAGTGCTGTGTGCCATTCCGATGTACTGCCAAGGCGCAAAATTATTTTGACTTTTCACAGGCCAATAGGGCAGGAACGGACTGTAAAAAGAAAAAGGCCTCCTTTATACAAAAGAGTTGATCCACCAGCTGATTACATTCTCGGTACAATTGTTAAAAAAATGCAGGTAAAATGGTGGAGATTATTCACGGGAAAGCATCACAGGGGAGTATCTTTAAAGGAGACAGAAAGGAAGACTAAGAGTAGTTTTATTTTTGCAGCGGATTTTTTAATTGGCTGTGACCGAAGCCAGAATTTTTTTTTTCTCCTGATGGAAGCTGTCTTGGCATCTTTCGTTTGCAGTAAAGGATTGCCTTCTCTCTCCCTTCTGTTCCCGAATAGCAGAAGCAAAGTTACATGGGAAATGCGATTATTTTTCTTCCAAAGAGGGCCATTTTTTTGATTGCTCTGGCTTCAATTCTCTGATGGTTTTACATCTGCATTTGTATGGGGTTAAAGTCTTGCTTGGGGCAGAGAGATAGATTTGGGGGCCAGGTTTGGTTTAAAAAAAAGTCCTTTTGAGGAAAAATATATTTTTCTGCCCTTTTTAATATTTTCTTCTGTGGGCTAACTTCCCTCAAAGTCTTTGCGTGCTTAGTTCAAAATGCATATTGCCAAGTACCACCCTTTACAAAGGCATCGTTGCCGATCCCTTTCCGTGGAATCGCTTTTTATATCGCAAAAAGAGCACAAATAGGCTTCTGGTAATTGATATATTTCGATTAGCCGAGCTGGCAGGAATTCAGTTTCCTACAAGCTTTAATCCGGTTTGCCTAAGGTTGTTCTATGCAGTTGCCAATTCCACCAGAATAGTGGCATTTTTTTGTCTTGCAATTGGGAATACATCACATACAAGTGCAACTTTATATATATTGTGCGTATATTTGTGAGTTCCCAAGTATAAAGTGGCTAGTTGTGCTGGTATAAGAAAATGCGCCTTTCCCAGAGAGTCGTGCAAGTTTTAAATGTTTTCCAATTGAGCGCCTCCCGGACAGGAGCAGCAAACCGCCGCGCGCCACAGCGCCGACCAATCAGAACGAAGGAAAACAAGCCGCACTCCAAGTTGCCACGCGCCAAAAACTTTAGGAGCAGGCCGCGCGTTGTGTCCTTCCGCGGCAATGGATCTATTTAATGGGGGGGGGCGACATAGCACCCAGAAAGAAGTAATCCAGCCAAGCGCAACCTCGTCAGCCATGTCGTCCCAGGCCTCTGAATCGGGACGGGTCGCTTAGCAGCGGCTTGGATGAAAATTAGCCCTGCAAGGAGGAAAAAAAGACAGAACGGCGGAGGGATCCGGAGACGGTTGGTGACGAGATGGTGCTCGGAGTTGTGGCGCCAGAATTCAGAGGCAGTTGAGGGGAGGTGGCAGCTATGGTGGTGCTCCGCAGCGGTTCGGTTGGCTCTGGCCGCCCCGATCCTCATCGCGGAGGCGAGACCCCTTCGGCATCCCCGCAGTCTCTCTACGAACCGATGGAATCGAGTTCGGAATTTCTCAGTTTGACCACCCCGACTTCGTCTCGGAGGAGGAAACGCTCGGTGGACAATCGATCCCCCGGAGGGGCCACCCGGGATCTACCCGCCAATCGGAAAGCCCGGAGGGTGAGTTTGGAGAGGGAGAACATAGAGGAACGCGGGCCGTTCAAACTACAGACCGGCGTACCTCAATGTGTGCGTGGGGACAATCCTGCGGGTTGAGGAGTTATTGAGTACAAAAATGCGTATATAAAGAGGGGCAGAGTCTAGCCTTGGGTCTCGCTCTTTGCCAATCTGGTGCCAGTCGGTTTTTCCATCTTCTGTCAGTACTATGGCTTTCTGACCAGTAGATAGGTTTCCAGGAGGATAAATTTCCATTTTACCCGAACACTTCCCGTAGTTTAAGGTGATCAGTACAATCGGAGGCCTTTGTATGAACGGCAAAGCTCGCAGTGACTTTAATTTGGATATTCTTTGGCTTTCCCCATTGCAATCATGCCTTTTCTAACATCAGGTTGAACATCTGCCCTCTTCCTTTCCAGTTTCATCTAATTAATCTTGGGTGGCCCTAAGCGTTATTTTGCTAGTTTGAGGATATTGTATTTGTAACCTCTGTTTATGGCTCCTTTTTTTGGTGGGGGGATGTTGATATGTGGAGTGATGTCAGCCTCTCCCAGGTAGATCAATTCTAGAAATCCTCTCCATAAGAAGACTAGAACTATATTTTATTGACATAGGTTGTAATAACAGAAACTTGCAGTTCTGATTGTGATATCCTCCTTATATTAGGATGAATCGGGGAGGCATCTGCTTGAGCTACTTCTGAATATTATCTCTTTTCTCTGGACTCAAAAAAAAAGTTTCAGCCCCTTTGCATAGCTAATTTTTAATATTTCCATCAAGGTCATTTTTCTAACTATAACTGACCTTCCAATTTCTTAACTACTGTGATGTTGATTTGCTGGCAATTGTTTGGTTAGAAATTTTACTAATTTTTTTATTGCTGGCATTTTTGTAACTATTCCATCCGCTTCCATAATCTTTCAACTTGGTAATAGCTGGAATGGTGAATCCAGGTAGAAACCTTTTGATTCAGCTTTGTTTTAAATGAAATATTTCTGTTGGATATAAAAAGAAGAACAAGGGATCCAATATTGGTGTTAGGCTAGATTGTAACTTCCTTATCTGAAGAATTTTTCATCAAGAATTTAGTTTTCAAAAGGGGTGATGGTTAATGTGCCTTTGGCTGCAGTTGTTTCAGTTTACATGGTTGCGTGATTCACTAAAGAGCCTTTAGTCGTGCAAATTGGGGTTTTATTGGCTACACACATCTTGGCTTGTTTACCTAACAAGAATATTGCCTCTATGGACTCTGAATTGGTACGTTTAGAACTTTATTGTTCCATCAGGAAATTCGTGATAATTTTTTTTTAAATGACCATTTTCACCACGATGTGCTAAACAGCAGCCAACATAATTCAGTTAGCAGCCAATTATTACAGCTAATTAATCTTATTGTGATGGGTAATTGCATATAATAAAATTTGATATATTGGCTTATAAGAATAACACACTTAACATTTAACCTTATTTTACAGCTTTTAAGAACTCTCACCTACCCACTTTTCCTCATGCATCACATCAGCTGATTTAGGCTAACAATTCATGGAAGTTGCAAAATAGACTCATATTTTAATTGTGGAGAAGTTGTTGAATTCTGATCTCTACAATTGTATAATAAATTTCTTAGGCTATAATTTTGTACACCCTATACTGAAAGTAAACTTCTAGCACTAAAAGTTTACATTGTTTTCAGAGTGCCAAAATATATTTCTATCTTGCAGTCTGTATGATACCTACTCATAGGTTGTCAAATTGTGTTACGTATTTATCTTTTCCTTTTCACTGTATCTGCTATGGAGTTTGATGTTAAAACATTGCATGCTGACAAGTAACACTGATAGAAAATCAAGAAATTTATACATCTAGGAAAAATGAATTCAACTTACAGCATTGTGATTAAAGGTCTTTATTTTCAGCAACTTATAGTACGACTGTTCAAATTAATTAGAAATTCACAATATCATGTGAAAATTTGAAAAAGTTCAGATGAACAGACTTAAACAGTAATGTATATGCAATGATACATGTAAAATTAAACAACATAATCAGGAAACTAATTTTAAAAAATACTGCTCATACAATTAACAGATATGTTCATTTCTGAATTTTTTAATTTAATTTTAATGTTTTAATAATTTTAATACATTTCTATTGTAGAGAATATTTCAACTGTTGTACTGTTTCTAAAGTTATTAAAATATATGTCCACTATCTGCCTCTAGGGAGAGATTATTCCAGAAAACTGGGTAATCTACAAGTTCTTGTTCTAAATAGTAGGACTGAAGAGTAATAGAGTAAAAAAAAAAATAGCAGAAAATTCTCTAGAAAAATGTTATAGTCAGAAACATATTCCTCAAAAAACATAATACTATGCTTAAGGATTACTTTAAATAAAAAATGGTTTATAATTATGAAAAAGTATAATTGTTAAATGCAACAGAAACTAAACATGTCAAATGGGAAATTTTATGAATCAAATTTAAATCCAAATTTTAATTCTTCAGTTGGCAATATTCTAGAAATGTAGATATTAACTAGAAGCTTCTAGTCCCTTATCTTTAAAAAGTAATTTAAGCAGTTTATCTAATTCATAAAAATAGTCAAGCATATTTGAACAGTGTATCAGAGAAGCTACCATAAAATATGAATGAAAATATAAGTATGTACACAAGAGATAATATACAGAGATAATATCTAAAGAACCTTTTGAGCTCATTCAACTTTAATAGATATATTTTCTGAATAATTAGTTTGCTGATATAGCTAAATGTATACTAAATCTAAATAAAGCAATTTTTGATCAAAATGTAGTAAATGGAGTTGAAGTGTCTTTTCTGCTCTTTTTTTTTTTTTTTTAGTCTGGGCATTTCTCACAGTTTTAAATACTGCTGACTACTTTTTTGGCAGTAGTCTCCAAGCTTGTTTCAATTTAGTTTATGAATGTTTCTTATCAGAAATCTGGCAGTTGACAACACACTGACTTATTTATTGCATTGCACCATATTATGTGAATTGGGGAAAAGGATGTAAAGCTCATTATCATTAATTTAAAAACTAGTAACTTCCCATTTTCTACAAAGTGAAACGAGAGGCTATGTGAACATTTCCACTATGGTACCATGAATAGAAAGATTTCAAGATGTATCAATGCTGGTGGAAACAAAGTGGGTTCTCTGATCTGTTGCAAGGGATGAATGTCAAAAGGCAAAAAATTAATTTGACTTCTATATTGGCTATGTATGAGTTGGGGTTCTTTCAGGAGAAAAAAGTTGAATGCAATAAAAATAGGTTACTCAGCTGTATAATGGCAATTGGGACTGGAATTTTTCTTGCTAAGCACTGTGGCTGTAAAGTGCAGAACAGTCCCATTAGCTACAGGTAGTCCTCGACTTACGACCACAGTTGAGCCCAGAATTTATGCTGCTAGATGAGAAAATTGTTAAGTGAGTTTTCCCCATTTTGAGACTTCTTGCCACATTTGTTAGGTGAATCACTGCAGATGTTAAATTAGTAACATGGTTAAATGAATCTGGCTTCCCCATTGACTGCTTGTCAGGGTAGTAAAAGGTGATCACATGACCCCGGGACATTGCAACTGTCAAATAAGAACCAGTTGTCAAGCATCCAAATGTAAATCACGTGATCATGTGGATGCTGCAACGGTTATAGGTGTGAAAAATAGTCATAAGTCACTTTTTTTAGTGCCGTAACTTCAAATGGCCACTAAATAAATTGTTGTAATTCGAGGACTACCTGTATGGTCAAATGAATCCCACTGGTCACTAGCCAAGGGCTCATACCAATTCATTCCTGGCTTGGTATTTTCCCATAATAATATTAGACTAGAGTTGAAAGGGACCTTGGAGGTCTTCTAATCCAGCCCCCCGCTTAAGCAGGAGAACCTATACCACGGGTCGGCAACCCGCAACTCTGGAGCCATATGTGGTTCTTTCAGCCTTCTACTGTGGCTCCCAGTTCTCTGCCATTTGCAGAGACAGAGAGGCACTTGAGCTTCCCTTCTCTCTCGCTCTCTGATCTTCTGCTCACCTGGCCAGCTGGGCTCACGCTGTTCTCTGACAAGCTGACAAGCTTATTGGGTGGGGCTCCTGTCTTTGCTGCGTCTCCGCAGAAAGCAGCATCTCTCTCTCCCTCCCTCCCTCCCTCCCTCCCTCTCCCCCCCTCTCTCTGTCGCTCACACACACACACACACACACACACACACACAATTATTTACTTAGTGGGGGAAGAGGACTGGCAGACCAAGGGCAGGAGAGAGTCAGCCCAATAAGAATGTGTGTCAGCTTAGATCGGAGAGAGGAGGGAGAGAGGAGAAAGAGGGAGAAAGGGAGAGAGAAAGGGAGAAAAGAGGGAGAGAGAGAATATGAATATATGTTGTCCTTACTGGACTTTTAGTAAAGAACGTTTAATGAAATATTTTGTTTTTTGTTTTAATTAAGAGATGAAGTATTGAGATAATTATGCTGTATTTAAAGATGGTAGATAAGCTACTAAAATTGTTTTCACCTGTTGAGATGAAGGGGAAAGGTTTTTTCCCCCTCTTTCTCCGGCATAAAAAATTTGTTTTCTTTGTAGCAGTTCATTGATTTCATAAATACAACACACTATAGTTTTTTTATATGTAGCATACAGGTTAAAAAAAGGATATATGCAGTGTTATCTTCATTTTAGATGTCAAAAGGGTTTTGTGGCTCCCAATGTTTTCTTTTCTGTGAGAAACGGGTCCAAGTGGCTCTTTGAGTGTTTAAGGTTGCCGACCCCTGACCTATACCATCTCAGACAAGTGACTGTCTAGCCCAGGGGTGTCAAACTCATAATGTCATGTGACATGACGTATGGTGACTTTTTCCCCATTGTCGGAGCTAGGGTAGGTGCGGTTTTGGCATGACACATCAGGCGCGTGGGCTGGCAGTTTGACACTCCTGGTCTAGCCTCTTAAGGCACCTTGATCCACAAAAGATGTCTCTCATGTATCCTGACTTACAGCCTAAATGTTGGAGATGTGGCTGTTTGGATGCCACTTATTATCATATTTGGTGGTCGTGTAAAAATATAAAAGCTTTTTGGATTAAGATATGGTGGAACATTCAGAGAATTTTTAGAAAGAGGGTAAAATTTACTCCACAATTGTTTTTGCTTGGTATTGTTACTGATTGTGATGCTAAGGAGGTTATATTGATGTTGAATTTGATTACAGCCGCAAGGCTGCTAGTAGGTCAATATTGGAAGAAGGAATCTTTGCCTACTTTGCAAGAGTGGTTTTTAAAAGTATCTTATTTGGCGGAAATGGCAAAGATTTCGGCTTTCTTAAAAGAGCAAACGCAAGAGAAATTTTTTGCTGTATGGGAAAAATGGATAAATTTTTTACAATTTAAATTGGATATGAAAAAATACCATTTAGCTTTTTTATAACTTGTATAAAAACTCTACTTTTTTTTCTTCTTTTCTTTGTTTTTTTTTAAATATTTTTTCTTTTTAAGGTTTATAATTCTTTATTCATATATATTTTGTTCTTAATTATCTTATAATTTTGTTAACTTCTTTTAATTAAGCCTATATTCTGCTCTGGGAAGCTCGGGGAGGGGGAGGGAGGAGGTGATTTGGGAGGGGTTGGGGGAGGGTTGTATTGTTTGGGTTTTTTGTTTTGTTTTTGTTGTTATTGTTTTTTTCTGTTTTTGCAAAAGTTTTTAAAAAAAATTTCAATAAATCAAGTATGACATTTAAAAAAAAAAATCTCCAGTGATGGAGCACCCACAATTTCTGGAGGCAAGCTGTTCCACTGGTTGTCCTCAATGTCAGGAAGTTTCTCCTTAATGCTAAGTTGCTTCTCTCTTTGATCAGTTTCCAACCATTGTTTCTTGTCTTGCTTTGGAGAAATAACGTGATTCCCTCATCTTTGTGGCAGCCCCTCAAATACTGGAATACTGCTATCATGTCGTCCCTGTTTCTTCTTTTCTTTAGACTAGCCAAACCCAAAGCCCACAGTCATTTTCATGTTTTAGTCTCCAGGCCTTTGATCATCTTAGTTGCTCTTTGAATTTTTTCCAAACTCTCAATATCTTTTTTGTGATACGGTGACCAAAATTGGCTGCAGTATTCCAGGTGTGGTCTTACTAGGCTTTTATAAAGCGGTACTAATACTTTGCATGCTCTTGATTCTATGCCTCTGTTTATACAGCCCAGGATTGTATTAGCTTTTTTGGCTGCTGCTGCACACTGCTGGCTCATGGTCAAGTGATTGTCCATTAAGGTCTCTCTCACAGTTACTGTTTTTAAGCCAGGTCTCGTCCAGTCTGTATTTGTACCTTTGATTTTTCCTGCCTAAATGTAAAACTTTGCTTTTCTCCACATTGAAACTCATTTTGTGGGATAGGGCCCATTGTTCATGTCTGTCAAGATCTTTGTGGATCCTGAGTTTGTCTTCTAGGGTGTTGGCTACTCCTGCCAGTTTGGTGTCATCTGCAAATTTGACGAGTTCCCCTTCAATTCCCTCATTTACGTTACTGATGAAGATATTGAAAAGTACTGGGCCTAAAACGGAAACTTGTGGTACCCCACTGCTTACTTCCCTCCATATGGATGTAGTGCCATTGAGTACGGTTTGTCAGTCAGCTACAGATCCATCTGGTGGTGATGTTGTTTCTATTCCACCTTTTTCTAGCTTACCAAGGAGTAGGTTGTGGCCTATCTTATCAAATGCCTTACTGAAGTCTAAGTATACTACGTCCACAGTATTTCGCTGGTCTATTAGTTTAGTCACTTGAGTCTTAGTAAGGTAAGGGAGTATCTACTCTTTAATTCCCTTTCTGCCCTCTCCCTCTCCCCCACCCCCAATCTAGCCCTTTTGGCCTCCTTCCACTCTGCTGCCCTTGCTGTCCTATGTGTATTGGCCCTGGTACAGCTGCAGCTGCAGCCCAAAGTGATCCTAGCTGTCTTCCTGCTGACGAGGCATGCCCTGCCAGCCCTTCATGAGGCATAACAAATGGTCATGACTTACGTGTTTATGTATGTATGCTTATGAAACAAGAGGCAGTGTCAGAATGATTGGATAATTAATGTAGTTCAAATACAAAAGTGAATTACAAATATAAAATAAGTTGTCATATTCTCAGATAATGTGTTACATATGTGTGATAGAGGGTAACCAAATGTTCTGCATGGAATATGGAATTAAAGGTTCTATATTGGTTATCAAACTTTTAATGAATCATTTTTACCTGTCCTGAACCATCCAATGTCATTTAGATGAGATGCAAGTTGCATAAATAAATAAAAGGTTGGTTGTCAGATGCAACGATAACTATAGGTGGTGGTGGTGGTAAATAAGTGGTTCTCAACCTGTGGGTCGGGACCCCATTTGGGGTCGAACGACCATTTCACGGGGGTCGCCAAACAAGGCTGTCCACCATTTTTCCCCCTTTTCTTTGGCCACGCCCCTGGCACCCGGTGATGTATAAGTGGTTGGGGGTCACCACAACATGGGGAACTATATTATGGGGTCGCGGCATTAGAAAGGTTGAGAACCACTGTGGTAAATCATACATAAATGGAATCCTTAGTGACTGGTTCCATATTCAGCAGGCCATAAGACAGGAATATAAATTGTCTCCTTATTTAATGAATTTTTTGATAATTTTATAAGAATACTTACGGAAATACTAGAGTATATTAGTTGGAGTTGTGAATGTATACTTACAACTTAATTTTGTTTTTGTCTTTTAAAACTTAAGCAGCTTAAGACATGATCATTTGAGGGATCACTTCTCTATCTTTACTTTGTTTTAATAACTTGTAGAGGTATTAAATCAGAATTAACGTGCATAAATATTTCAAATAGAAATGAGTTACACATCAAAGTTAGAATGTAATTAAATATGCATTTTTAATTATCCTTATTGTCCTGCTTCAGGAGTTCTCTTCAGACAAACAATGTGAACATTTCACAAGACAGCATGCCTTGAGATCTATGAGGAAAAATAATCAACATTATTCAGATCCTAGCTTTGACAAAAAGATGTCAACACTTAGTGAAAATGGGATTAACAGGAAACACTTTACAAGGTATTTTTTTTTCTTTTACAGATCTCTCGTAAAATTATGTTGTACTTGGATCTTTTTTAGCGCAGCAGTGTTACAGGGCTTGGAAATAATCATTTTCTGATTAAAAACCTACCTATTTTCTAAGAAAAGCTTAGAGAAATAAAAAAATATAAAATAACATATTCCAATGAGTGTTTATAATAACTTAGAAAAGCACAAATGTTTTAAAATAATGTTTGGAAAACTAGCAAATTAAAAGGAAATTCTGTTATGTTTATGTTCTTGATTACTATCAGTTTGAACTCCAGTGGAGAGGAAACTTTGAAAAAAGAAAACCTGGTCCTATGCATGAGCATGTAGTCCAGTATAAATTGATTGAGTTCACAAAACATTTTTGAACTCTAAAGTAGTAGTGATGGGGATGTTTATGATAATATAAATGAATTCTGCAAATAGACAGTTTGATTTAAAGAAATAACTCAGTTTGAAAGCAACATGCATGTTTTTACTAATTGTAGCTGTGGTTGGTGTATTATGCAGATAGGAATGTACAGTTTATTCATGATTTGTGCCTGATCTTTTTCTGTGTACCTTATCCTCAAGACCTTACTTTGGGTATAAAGCTCACTTTGTGGCTTGTTTTTCAATAAATCATGGTATCAGTACAGCCCAACAAACAGTGGTATCAGTACAGCCAATTAACCATAGTTAGCCATAAATTGGATTGGATTTTAAAAATGAAATCTAATAGGGAATAGAATATTTGTAGCTCCACGTAACCACTGGAATAATCTAATTTGAAATTTATAAAAGCATTGATAAAAGATTCTCCAAGAATAGACAGTAAAAAATAATATATGTAGCCGACAAATGAATTATAGAGTCCTTGGTACCCTGAGCTTGGTTGTTTGCTTGCAGATATTTCATTACCCAACTAGGTAATGACAGTGCTAGCAAGTGTGGGTACTGCTACCATGAATTCTTTCAATACTATAGACAGAAGGAGTGCTGTGACATTGAATAAAATGCTAGGGAATTCCTGATAGCTTGGCATTCAGACAAATCAGCCATTAATACATATAAACAACATTGTCACAGCATTTAAAAGTGACACTAAAAAAGCTAAGAAGGAAAGAAAAAGACCAGATCATATCCTTTCCAGCAACTATCACCCAGATAAGCTGAGATGGTTAATACCAGATAATCAGATAGTAAGTCTAAGTATAGTAGAGACAAGGTAACAAAGCAAATAAAAAATGGAATATTTATAGCTAGTGAGTAAGGAGGTAGTAAAGAGGTATACAGAAACTGAAGGGAGTGTATAGAAACTAAAACAGGAATAGCACAAACCATTTTGTTGTTAAGTCCACTTGATTCTTCTGATACTAAATCTCATTCTAGTACTGACCCAAATGAAAGCCATACATTGGATGTCAAGCTGATAAAATCTTGTTACCTTTGCTTCTGTGCAGACAACTGGCTAGAATGCAGGCGGATGGAAAGAATGAAGATGGTGAAGAAGGTAAATCTAGTAAAATACATATTCTGTTGGTTGTGGATAGGCTACAGAGATTCAAATACATTGAAATTTCTGGTTTAGAGAACTGTCATTTATACAAATCATCCTTGGATTTGCTTTGACAAAGCTGGCCTTTGTAAAACATTCTATCCCTGTTGAACCATGTTAAAACAGGGGGGGGGGATGCATATTTCCAGTATTTTAGTTTGAAATATAAAGGTTGATTTTTCCAGACAGAAGTTGGGTGGCAAAGGAGGAAAGGAAGCCTCCGGAAAGATTTGATAGCAATGGCTGAAAAAGGAAAGGATATGCCCCTGGCACTGCAGAAGGAGACAAGGAACATTTATACCTCAACCTTGTCACTCTTTGCTCAACAGGATGTTGTTTCATCTGAAGTCTGGAAATTAGTCAAAACCGCTTGGGATTCGTTTGTGCCAAAATGTGGCTTCAGAATTTTTAATAAACTTATCAGTGCATTGGTTAATAATCAATCTCCATGCTATTCATATTTTTGAGTGTCAGGTTAAGTGTGTTTCCTTTTTGTCCTCTCAAACAATTTACTTGGACTTCAGTAAGTCATTTGATAAAGTAGACTGCAACCTACTACTTGATAAGATGGAAAGATGTGAGTTATACAGCATCAACACCAGATGGATTCGTAGCTGGCTGACCATCCGTACCCAGCGTGTGATCCTCAATGGAATTGCATCTACATGGAGGGAAGTGTGTAGTGGGGTGCCCCAGGGCTCTAATTTATTATATAGATGAGGATATATGAGTGGGGGATGCTGGCCATATTTAAAGGCAATTCAGTTATTTTGGAGAGCTGCATCCTTGAAGACATAAACACAGTTTTAAAAATATCTCAGCATACAGATGGAAAGTGAAGTGAAATTTAATTGAGATGATCCTTAATGTAGGAAACATGCTAAGTGCAGCAAACAAAAATTCTTTATTTTACTTTAGGATCTGTAGTTCCTGTAACCAGGTCCCTGAACGAAGGAGTAGATGGGAAGCCTGAAGAACACGTTGCAGAAGAAAATGGGGATGTTGAAGTCCGTCGCAGTTGCAGAATTAGACAAAGCCGCTATAGTACTATGAACCAGTCTGTTCTGTTTGACAGACTAATTACAAAGTAAGGTTGTTTATCTTTTTATTTCCTCCATCATTGATTGCTTCTATAAAAAATAAGAAGCTCCAGTTGATTAATGGTTCTTCCTTTTTTGTATATTGGAAGTGGCAAGCATTTTGGAAGACCACAAACTGAATAAGGTCATAGATCACATGTTGGGGCAGAACTATGCTTCCAGGGGCAATTCTTTGCTTTTTAAACAGACACTTTTAAGACCTAAATACAGGTAGTGCTTGACATACAACAGTTCATTTAATGACTGAAGTTACAACATCACTGAAAAAGTGTCTTGCAGCATCCCCATGGTCACATGATCAAAATTCGGCCGCTTGGGAGCTGCTTCATATTTATGACTGTTACAGAGTCCTGGGTTTGTGTGAACCACAAGCAAAGGCAATGGGGAAGCCAGATTCATTTAACATCTGTGTGACTAACTTTAACAGCTGCAATGATTAACAATTGTGGCAAAAAGGTCGTAAAATGGGGCAAAATTCACTTAACAACTGTCACTTAGAAACAAATTTTGGGCTCAATTATGGTCATAAGTTGAGGACTACCTGTAATGGTGCCTATGGGTATCATTTTTTCACAAGATACTTTGATGTAGTAGATACTTTGATGTAGTACTAAGTTAAATAAGCTTCTAATAAAATAAAACCAATATGATGCTGAAATGCTGCATAGCAAACACCAATACCTGTTTTGCTAATTTGAGCATGGAATATTCTGGATAACTCTGGAATATTCTCCCATTATCTATTGATTATGCTTTTCTGGGAGTAGTTTGGCACTTTTTTGACCTGAGTTCAGAGTGGCTTTAGAATGTCCCTGAGTTTTGCAGATCCACACTATTTGTTTTCTGGTAAATGAGTGTTTATGACTAACCATACCCGCCATAATAATCATTCTGAGAGTACTACCACATATTCTCAAAATTCCAAATATACCCCTCTTGGAAAATATTACAAACACCTATGCTACAATTCCAGCTTTTCTTTTTTCACTCCAAAATGGTAGGAAATTTTGTATTTGTTTTTGTTTTGTTTTGTTTTATGATATAATAGAAGGAGCTCCAAGAGTAAGGAGAAGGGGCAAACCTTCTGGAATGGGCAACATACAAATGAACAAAGAAACATGATTTCTTTGGGGCATTATTGCTTGTCTGTTGATATACGCAGGATTGGAGTTGCATTTGTTAATAGTTCTAGCTTACTATGAACTGAAGATACAATATTGTGGCATTCTTTGTTTAATTGTTAATATTATTTTGCTTAATTATTTGTTGCATACTTTTGTCAGTACTGCAGAAGCTGTACTACAAAAAATGGACGATATGAAGAAGATGCGCCGTAGACGAATGATGGAAGATCTTGGGGTATTCAATGGTAGAAAAGGAGTAAGTATACATTCATTATGGAGGCACCAGTCTTTTTTATTGCTTTTGCTTTGATAGTTTGAACATAACCTGAACAAATTCTAAGTAATTCTAAGGTACGCTTTATAACAACAGGAGATTTTTTTCCCCAAATCATTAAACCAGAAGTGCTATTTGTAAGGCCATGAAATTGGCTGTGAGCTGTCTCTGCATCCTCAAACTGGATCAGGACAAAGGCTAAACACGTGTAGGCAACCAGTAGTGGTTTCAAAAGCAGTTGTGTGAAACAAATATAGCTGAGAAAGGTGTGCATCTATACATTATGAAGCATCTTTTTCAGCAGATGTGCACAGTCCAATATTCTGATTCCATTTACTGTATCTATTGAAATTGACATAGAAGCATCATGTAATGGCGGATTACTTGAGTGAGCTTTTGTGCTATTTCCAGGGAAACCTTGACATGTACTCCAGAGGGAAACCAGCTATCCAAAGGACTGATGAAGAAACCTCTGACAATCAGGATGGAAGTGCAGGTTATTGTGCTGTTTTTACTATGCTGTTATATATGAAAATTTGAAGTGTGGATATACTTAAGGGTAACTGAATGAAAAATGTTTTGGCTGAAACTTCTGAGAAATGTTTGGTTAGCTTCTGTAGGAATATCTAAATAGCCATTACAGCTGCTCTTATGAATTGATTAGCTAGAGTTTTCAGGTTAACCTCTGGTGATCCTCTCACAGGATTCGCTAAAGCTCTTATTATATTTCATTTTTGCATGTATTTCATTTTTGCATATGTGTAATTAACTCCTGTTTTCAAGCCAGTCTTGACTGTTGGCAACTGCCTGGACCAGGTTCTTTCAGTTATTGGGTGGTTTTTTTCAGTGGTAGGGGCAACATTTTCAAAGGTGTTTGCTATTACCTTCTTCCAAAGTTTGAGATTATCTCTGTTTCCTTCAGATCTTTATTAAAGCTTTGAGATAGCTTCAAATTGGATCTGGTTTGGTTTGAGCATTGAAAGCTGAATTTTGTAATGAAAAAATAAAACTGATAATGTGTGTATGTTCCTAGCCGAAATAGGTAATAAAATTACATAGAGCAATTGTAAAATTTGTTATAGGTTCAGAACCTTTATTAAAGTTAGAACAATTTATTTTAAGTAGAATCTTCAGAAGAAGTTGAGGACCATGAAGATGAAGATGGTGAAGAAAACCAAAAGCGCTATGATCTCCGGCAGCGAAAAACTGTTGTACGTTATCAAGCCTCACCAGAAAGTAGGTTTCTTTTATACCATTCCTGGAAGTTTCATTTATTTATTACAAAATTTCAAATTTCCAAGATCAAAATATCTATTTAATATGTGTTGATATCGAACCAAATTCCTCATAAATATTCTAAATTGAAGGCAAAAAGAGGCATTTTATTCCATGTTATTCTAAGATCCATGATTAGTTTTTTGTTTTAATGTTTTTTCTTATGGAAATTTGAAAATATCGCGAGAGATTTTGTTTCTTCTCTGCTTGGAATTAAAGTGGATGGGGGGAGGGAAGGAGTTGGTTAAGCACATACTCAATTGAATATACTGCTTTGGTCTCAAGAAAAAAAGAGCTTCCATTTCACTAGTAAATTCTACAGTTTTAATTTTTTTTTTCCGTGAAAGAACGTGATTTGTAATGCTATGTTGTTCCTGTGTGGTATGCTTTTTCCCCATGAACAATTTCTAAGTGCAAAAGTATAATATATCTGTGGATTTCATACAAATTTATGGAGCTTTGTTTTTGCAGGCCTGATCAAATCCAGAACCATATATTGTGCAACCATGTTAATTAGGAAGATGCGTCAAGCTTTTAACTAGAAGATTTCGATTTTGCTTTTATAACATTGATCATGGCTGCAAAAATTAATTCATTTGGCTCTTTGTTTGGCTCAATTCTCAATTCTAGCCATATTGCTAGAATCCATTTAATTGTTACTTGTACTGCTTGGTTGGAAGTTTTAGAAAATATTCTGATTTTTTTAAAAAAAAAAAAAAATTCAGTTCATCTGTCCTCTTGTGGTTGTGAATATATTACTTGGAAACGTTTTTCAGTGCTATAACTCTGTTTTTGGGTGGGACTGTCATCTTAACATTTCATGCATTTCATCTTTATTGTGGAACTTTTCAGCCAATGCTACCTAGATTTAGCTTCTGAATGTCTTTCAGGAACGAAATTAACAAATGAACTTTGTACAAGTTAAAATTAAGCATGTTTGGCTTTTCGTAAACAAATGATTTGCTCCATGATTTGCTGTCTTTCCCACATTTTTCTAGCTTACCAAGAAGTAGGTTGTGATCTACTTTGATTATCTATTGTAGAAGCAAGAATATTAATATCTTCTTTTTTTAAAAAAAAAATTTGATATTGTTAACAGAGCCCAGGCATCCGAAGAAGCCTAAGTTATTTTATGATGATGCAGCCTCTCCAGTAAGACAAGGTTTCCCCTTTAGTCCTGCAAGACCACGGAGCCCTTTCTGTAAAAAAATAAATAGGTATGTTTTTGTGTGTGCAAGATATACAGTAGCAACAATGCTTCATGTGTTGCTTGTACCCCGTAATTTAGCAAAAGTTTAATTATAGTTTATTATAGAATACACTTTACTGTCTGAGCTTGCAACCATGGGGACACTGCAGTGGTTTTAAGTCACTTTTGTCAGTGCTGTTGTAACTTCAAATGGTTGTTAAAAATTGAGGACTACTGATATTTGTAAACACAAACACCAATCAGCATATATTAGGAAGAAATATACTGGCTTTGTGTGAATCTTGAAGATGGGATCTTCTACATTTTTCAAGATTTTTGAGGACTTGTCTCCTTATTCAGCTCCATTATAATGGAATGGTTGTTAAGTGACAAATACATGTATGTCCTCATAATATTGTTTTCAAGAGAGGTTTGATAACTTGGTTTACATATTATACAGTGTCAAATATCAGTTTGTTAGTATAAATTAAAATTATGCTTTGCTTGTCAGTCTATGTCAGAGTGAATAACCATGACTATGTATTCAGCCAATTTAGATTCATGGAGGAAATCCAACATGGATTTAATTATACCCCCTCCTTATTCTTCCACCCTTTTTCTACTCGGCTCAACCACTCATATCCACTCATATTCAGCATGTATTTACTAATATATCAATACTTGCACAACATGCATTTTCATACTTATTTTTTTAAAAAATAGGCGAAAGCATGCAATTCATAATAGTGATTCCACAACTTCGTCATCATCTGATGATGAAGAACGTTTTGAGAGGCGTAGGAAGAGAAGTCGCAACAAAGCACTGAGCAGGTATTTATTCAAAGTGGGTAGTATATTTTTTTCCAGAGATTACATTGAGGGGATTCTGTCTAAAATATTGTCAATGAAAAAATGGTGAATTCTAGCTTTCAATAATTAAATGCTATCAGGATTTAACAGTTGTTTGTCACATTGGAATTGTATACTCATTGCTATGTAAAACAAGATTTCAAATTTAACGTTAATTATGAAGCTACATCTATTTGTTTTTCATGGTTTTAAATTTTGGCTAAATTAAATTGTATTTTCTACTTCAGCACTTTCAATAACTATTAATTCCCATACTAGGTGCCTTCCACTAAATTTTCAAAAAGATGAGTTGAAGGGAATCCACAGAGATCGAATGAAAATTGGAGCAAGCCTGGCTGATGTTGATCCAATGCAAATAGACACTTCAGTAAGGATTTGATATCTTACTTTCTGACATAAAAAAAAATAGCTATTCTTGTTTGGCTAATTGTATGATATCAAGTTATTGTTAATTTCTAAACCAAGGCTTTTCAACCAGTGGTACGGGTACCACCTGTGGTACATTGGCACCTGGCAGGTGGTACGCGACCATCCTAGAAAAGTGGTAGCAGGGGAGGGGAATGAGCTGAACTGGTGGCAGCACTGCACAAGCCTGAGCGAGAGATGGCTGGAGCTGCAGGGCTGTCGGTGCTCAGCAGAAGCGCCAGGATCAGTGCCACTTTCCAGCTGATTGACACTTCTTCAGGGCTGTCAGGGCTCAGTGGAAGCACCAGGATCAGTGCCAGGCTCCAGCTGGAACTCGACACTGATTCTGGCACTTCTGCTGAGCCCAGAAGAAGCGCCGATCAGCTGGAATGTTGCAGCATCTCCAGGGTCTTGTGATTTACATTCAGATGCTTGGCAACTGATTCATATTTATGACGGTCACAGTGTCCCAGGGTCATGTGAAGTGACCAAAACCTGCTGCAACCACCCAGCAGATGGGGGAATAAAAACCAAACACCCCCGCTGCCAATCCTCAACAGAAATGCTCACAACAATGAAAACCTCGGACAGGAGGAAGAGCGCTGCCAATCAGATGTGGCTTGGGGGGCACTTTTTTCAGTGCCATTGTAACTTCAAACAGTCACTAAGCGAACTGTTGTAAGTCGAGGACTACCTGTACTTCAGGTTTTTTTGTTTTTTGCTTTTGGTCATCAAGTTTTTGACACTTTGCTAGGCGACTGGTGGTACTCTGATATTGCTATATCCTAAAAGTGGTACAATGGGTGAAAAGATTGAAAAGCCCTGTCCTAGACATCATATAGATTGAGATGTTCTTTAACATATTGGCAATAACTTAAATGACACTTGTAAGGACCGCACAGCTAACTTTCAGCTTTTACTTTGGCTATGATTTTTGTGATTTTCATTTGTCAACTATCTCCCTTTTTAGGTACGATTTGATAATGTGGGTGGACTTTCTGATCATATTTCAGCTTTAAAGGAGATGGTAGTTTTCCCACTACTTTATCCAGAAGTATTTGAGAGATTCAAGATTCAGCCTCCAAGGTAGTACTTTAAACTATTTCCTTTTATTGGATGTTAAGGTCTTTTTAAAATTTGGACTTTCTTGGGATAGAGAGTTTCTTAAGATCTTTAGGCAAGATAATTTCTTATTAATCACTTTGATGCACTGTTTAGATCAATTTGTGTAGCATGTTAAAACTGGCAAGATTTACTATAGTCATAGTAGTTTACAAAAAATATACATGTGTTCTAAGTTTTTATTATATTAATTTATACTATATTATTATTAAGAAGTACCCAAACTTTAAAAGGAACCTGAAAGTGTCCTTGAATTGTTTTTGTGTAAAGTTTTGTTATTTCAAATTATTATTATAGCCAGACTTCCACAAGAGATAATGCAGAATATAAACAAGTCCTAATTAAGAAAGATCAAATTAAGAATTGGGAAATAAGAAATTATACTATTTACAGAGGTTAAAAATTGAAGTAATTATTGGAGCTAAGAGAATGTAAATATAGCAACCAACACAAAAGCACAAAATATAGGAGAAAATAACCATTAAAAAAAATCTGGACAAAAGAGTAGTCCTAAATGCTATGTATGGGTTTTGCATTTGTTTACAGCCTTTATCAAAACTGTTCAGAGTAGCTTTAGTTGAATCAGCATCACCAAAAACATCCCCCTAGAAGTTTTGCAAGCTCCCTTTTATTCTTTTTTTAATTAGCTTCATTGTTGGAGACAATCTCTGATTGCTTAAATAAATAGATTGTTGGTTTCTATTATATTTGCACATTTATTTATCCTTTAGTGGGAAATCCATCCATATTGCATCCTTCTGAAGAGCCATAGAGATTCATAAATAGTGCAGCCAATTGATAATTTTGGTTTCATTTCATTCTGTCATGTCTGCATCTGCTCTTAGAACTCCTGAAATCATATAAGGATGCATATCAAAAACTTGTAGGTTATTTCAACAGGAAGTTAACACTGCAAAGCATACAGATCACTGAAAATTTAAAATCTGGATTGTTTCTACTCTTCAGGGCCATGCTTATTGTAATTGTGAAGCTGATTTGAGAATTTAATTTTTTTTGAATAACTTCCTGTTTGTTAGTACTAAGAGAAAGGATAGCAAAGACAAACATTTAAAAAAATTGAAATGAAATATGTAAGATAAAGATGATTAAAATTTCCATCTTCTTTATTGTTGGTAGCATGTACAGTCCTGTTCTACATTTCTCAGCTTTCATGATCCTTTCTGTAATTTTAACAAAGAGTCTGTTACTTTAGTGTCCAAAGGCATGGTTGCCACCTCTGAGTTCTTATCTCATACGAAAGGAAATTCACAGAAAATTATTCAGCAGAGCATTTGAGTTCATAATCATGGATAAAAACTTGCCCATGGCATCTGGCTTGTTAATTTAGAACCCAGAAGTTTGGGGATCTGTTACAGGAAATGTATAGATCCTTAAGTACAATATTCAGATACCCTATGGAATTTCAAGTGGAGAAATTCTGAGATCTCCCAATTACATATATGTAAAATCTAGCATTCTGGGAAATTTCTAAATGGAGACATACTCAGATAGCTCCATTGCTGAATTGGTTATTTTTATTCTTTCTACGCCAAGATTTCTAAGCTATCTAGTATTGATTTGTTCTTTTATATATTGCCTATCTTTGTTTTTTATATATATATGTGGTTTTAGCTGTTCGTTATGCGCTGCCCAGAGTCACCTTTGTGAGATGGGTGCTATATAAATATGATAAAAAAAATGTGACTGACTATTCCACAATTGGTTTGTGGTTTTCCAGAAGTTAAACTTCTAAACAAGAAGTGAGATTTCCTTCAGTTAAGATGAGTAACTTCTGAAAAATAGCTGAAGCAATAGTGAGGACATTCTTGTGTTTGTGAGAAAATGCCCTGAGCCGGCTGCATTTTGTTACCATTGAGGACAGGATTATTACCGTAATTAGCATGCTCATACCTCCAAATTCATAGGCACCAATATTGATCACTAAGAACATCAGTGTAATAAGCTCTGTATCTTTTATGTGCTGCTTGTAGGTTTTTCTTAAAAATCTGATTGCCAAAGTCTTAAAGTGATTAGGTGGAGTGTGCTAACTTTAACTACAAGTTTGAATTCTTCCAGGGGCTGCCTTTTCTACGGTCCACCGGGTACTGGAAAAACTCTTGTTGCCAGGGCACTTGCTAATGAGTGCAGTCAAGGAGACAGAAGAATAGCCTTTTTCATGAGAAAAGGTGCTGATTGTCTCAGTAAATGGGTGGGTGAATCTGAGCGACAGCTTCGTCTGCTGTTTGACCAGGTAATTTTGCTTTCTTTGTATCTGTATATGAGCCGAGGTGGCGCAGCAGTTAGGGTGCAGTACTGCAGGCCACTTTAGCTGACTGTTCAGCAGGTCAGCGGTTCAAATCTCACCGGCTCAAGGTTGACTCAGCCTTCCATCCTTCCGGGGTAGGTAAAATGAGGACCCAGATTGTTGGGGGCAATGTAAATATATATATACATTGCTTACTGGTGTACACCGCTTAGAGAGTGCTTGCACTTAAAGCGGTATATAAGTCTCATAAATAAATAAATAAAATCTTGTGTTCTGCATAGCTATTTGAATCGTAATTAATTTGAATTTCTCTTTTTAGGCCTTTCAGATGCGTCCTTCAATTATATTCTTTGATGAGATAGATGGCCTTGCTCCTGTACGGTCCAGCAGACAAGATCAGATTCACAGGTATGTTGTTTGTAATTAAACTATAGTTCTTTAAAAATTTCTTTGAACTTCAATATGATGGGTTAAGTTCAAAAGATTGTAAAAGGTAAGCTGAACCTTGGATCCATTCTATTTTGAGAAAATTAGGACAGAAATAGTTAAATAAGCAAGGAAAGATAGTATTTAGTTATTTGCCAACCTAAATAACAGTACTTTTGATCAAGTGATATGCAGATGTTTGATAAACTCTTTACATCATGCATGAAAGTATAATATATCTGAAAACTTTGCAGATTTTCGCTGGGGTGGCTTTCATCTGCAGATTACTATATATTTTCTAGCTTTTCTCTGTTATCATGTTATGAAAAAAATCTGATCTGAAATGTACCTCAGCTATCTTTTAAAAAAATGAAATCCTGCAGTTTCATACAATCTTTTGTGTATATCTCTAAGAGTGCTTCAAAAAATGATTAAAACGTAGTTTTCTACACCAATTTGTTAGTAATATAGAAATGCAAAAATGAACTGGTTTGTTTCTGGAACATCTCTTCCAGAAGGGACTAACTCAGCTGTTGGGAAGGTTGTTTGTCTGTTTTGGGGCTGGATTGGGTCCAGAAAAAAAATATTTTTTGTTACAGATAACACACTTCCAGAAACATGTTTGTTTATTGTTTTGAAAGGTGTGTGTACTTGTTCCTATTAAGCAACTCTAGGCAATTCACAACATCAGTAAAACCCAACAACTCTAAAACATAACCATCAATCAATCAGAAACCAAAGCCCCTAAGGATCTCCTTAGGATGCTCCGCAGCCAGCTTTAATTATGCTCATTCTATCCTGTCCTATCCCAGCACCTGGGTGAAAAGCCCAGCCTTAAGTCACTTAAGAGAAGGCTATAAAGCAGTGGTTCTCAACCTTTTTAATGCCGCGACCCCCCCCCACCCAACCGGTCGTAAGTCGAGGACTACTCAACTAGTCGTAAGTCGAGGACTACTCAACTGGTGCAACACCGTTTGCAGAATGGGACTTTTGGCGGGCTCAGCAGGGCAGAGACAGCCTGGACAATTCCTATTGCTTTTGAAAGCCAATAGAATTAGACTCTATTCAAGAGAGTCTATTCTATTGGCTTTCAAAAGCCAATAGAATAAAAGGGAGTAGCACAGCTAAGGAAAGGGGGAAAAAAATGGCGGACTGCGTTGTTTGGCGACCCCCGTGAAATGGTCGTTCGACCCCAAATGGGGTCCCGACCCACAGGTTGAGAACCTCTGCTGTAAAGCATTGTGAAGCGGTATATAAGTCTTAAGTGCTATTGCTATTTGAATTGTACCCGGAAGGGAACTGGGAACCAGTGCAGCTTGCACAAAGAGGTGTAACGTGGGCAAACTTAGGAACACCAATACTGTCCATGTTGCTGTATTATGGACCATTTGTAGCTTTAAAGTAGTGTTCAAGGGCAGCCCCCATGTAAAGCATAATGCATTAATTCAAGCAAGGAGTGCCTAATGCAGAGATAGGCAACCTTGGCTCTTTTATGACTCGTGGACTTCAACTCCCAGAATTCCTGAGCCGGCCATGCAGGCTCAGGAATTCTGGGAGTTGAAGTCGACGAGTCATAAAAGAGCCAAGGTTGCCTACTCCTGGCCTAATTTTAGCATAAGTGGGAGCAAGGACTCCTGGTTCAGGAAAGGGCAAAATCCAGAGCTGCTCTGTCTTGTCAGGGTTAAGCAAAAGTCAATTTCTCCTCAACGTGACCCTCACAGCCGACAGTGCTGCATCAAGGACCATTCCTGCAATCCTTGAAAATGAACCATGTAATTAATAATCATATTTAACAATATTTATTTATTGGTATCTGTTTTATGTATATTTTATGCTTTTGCTTTATACCCTGGTTTTTTCCCCAAAGACAGTATTTCTGATGTGCCATGTTAAGCAAAACATAGTCCTCAGTCTGAAAAGGATTGTGAAGACTTGCTCTAAAATCACTTTTTTTCCCAGACATTTAAAATAGGTCTTGTGGATTCTACCATGTAAAGGATAACATATTTTAAAATTTTGTTTTTAAGCTCAATTGTGTCTACGTTGCTTGCATTGATGGATGGCTTAGACAATAGAGGTGAGATTGTGGTGATCGGTGCTACAAACAGATTGGATTCCATAGATCCTGCTTTGAGAAGACCTGGACGTTTTGACAGAGAATTCCTATTTACATTACCAGATAAAGAGGTAAGAAATTCCACTACTTGTGAATAATTAGCTTCGGCTTACCACAATAGAGCATTGTATAGACCAGTGGTGGCGAACCTATGGCACGGGTGCCAGAGATGGCACTCAGAGCCCTCTCTGTGGGCACACACACCGTTGCCCCAGCCCCGCCACCCTGTGGCCCCCTCCTCACCAGCAGCCCCCCCCCAGAGGAGAGTCGCTCTGGGCACAGCCTGCGCAGAGCAGCACAGCCAAGGACATACAGCCGGGCAGCAGGGACAAGACTTCGCCCTCGCGCCCCATCGTGTACAGATGATGCTGCGGGGTGCGAATGACATGGCCGCCATGACACTGCTGGGCCGCCTGGGCAATCTGCTGTGGTGGGCTGTGGAGGTGGTGGGTGGCCCTGCGGGCAGGAGCGGCGGGGGCTGGGCAGGGGCAAGGCAGTTTTTGGGCACTCAGTCTTTAAAAGGTTCGCCATCACTGGTATAGACAGGGGTAGGCAACCCAAAACACTTAAAGAGCCACTTGGACCCGTTTCCCACCAAAAACAAAACACCGGGAGCCGCAAAACCCTTTTGATATCTAAAATGAAGATAACATTGCATATATCCTTTTTTACCTTTATTATAGGTGTGTGTGTGTTTGTGTGTGTATGTGTATACACACACACACACACACACATACACACACAGGTAAAAAAAGGATATATGCAGTGTTATCTTCATTTTAGATGTCTAAAGGGTCTCTCTCTCTCTCTCTCCCTCCCTCCCTCTCTATCTGCCCTTGGTCTGCCACTCCTCTTCCCCCGCTCTCTCTCTTTCTTTCTCTCTCTCTCTCTCTCTTTCCTCTCTCTCTCTCCCTCCCTCTCTCTCTCTTTCTCTCTCTCTCTTTCTTTCTCCCCTCCCTCCTATCTGCTGCTCACCTGGCAAGCTTCAAGCTGTTGTCCAACAAGCAACCTCGTCTCTTTTATGACTCATGGACTTCAACTCCCAGAATTCCTGAGTCAGCCTAGCTGGGCTAGCTAGCTCTCTCCTGCCCTTCCAGCTTCCTGCTTCCTTCAGAGACGCAGCAAAGGGAGGAGCTCCGCCCAGAAAGCTTTTCAGCTCCTCGGAGAACACTGTGAGTGCACTCTCTTTTACACACACACACACACACACACACACACAAAACACACACACACACACACACACACACACACACACACACACAGAAGCAGGGAAGTGCAATTGCCTCTCTCTGTCTCTGTCTCTCTCTGCAAAGGCAGAGGAGGCTGGGAGCCACAGGGGAAGGCTCAAAGAGCCGCATGCGGCTCCGGAGCCGCAGGTTGCTGACCTGTGGTATAGACTATAGAGCAATAAACGTTAGACATACAGAGCAGCTGTGTCTAAATCCTTCTTTCAATTAGGGACTGGAACGTACAGCATTCACTTGAATTGAACTGGATGTCTATAATTATGGCAAAAGGAGAAAGTTGGGGTTGTGCAGAGTGAGATATTACTGTGTTTCTAATAAATATATTTCCTGTGTTCTCTTCTATTTTTCATTTGGTCAGTCACCCTAAATCAAGAAAGAAAGGTTATGCTGACATTGAAACTGCTCAGAAATTTCTGTTAAGCACTATGGAGCGATATATAAGTGCTATTGCTCTGCACTCTCTTCTGCCTTCTTTGGTGTGCTGCCAGTTGACTTGATCCGCTGCACGTTTTTCTTAAATTGGTTGCTCAAAGGGATCTTCCCCCTGCCTCCTAGAAGAAGAGTTAACCCTATCCCAGGGGTGGGTAACCTTGGCTCTTTTATGACTCGTGGACTTCAACTCCCAGAATGGGAGTTGAAATCCGCGAGTCATAAAAGAGCCAAGGTTGCCTACCCCTGCCTATCCTGTATTAGCTCCATCAATCTACTCACCAAACACATAATGTATCAGATTGAAATACATTCCATTGTAACTTAGTGGAATGGTTTTCTGAAATGCTTCATCCTAAGGTGGTAACATACTTGGTGCTGCCTTTCTTTGCATTTCCCAACAACTCTTCAGTTTGAAATGAGACCATTAAAATCTAACTTAAGAAAATAATTAGACTGAAATAGAAAACTATAGGACATCACCGGAAACAATCTTATTGTTAATATTGTAATTTCCATTCAACTCTGTATCATCTTTACTACTGTGGGTCACTAAATACCTTTGGGAAGACCAAAAGAATTCTGTCTTCTTTTGCTCCTGAACAACAGATACTCAATTTTTTGCAGTTGAAAATTATATATAGCTATATAATTACACTTCAAACAGAGAGTAGTCTTATCACTGTTATATTTATTATGCTAAATAAAATGATTGAAGTAATCATTTTTGTTTTGTTTCCCTTATTTTAAATTATAGCCCAATGATCTTTTTATATTCCAAATTATATCACATCATATATAGAATTGTCATGTAGGCAATGCCATTTTTCAATCAACTTTAATATTCTAATATTGGAGCCATGTTTCTCATAGCTGCTGCAGCTGCTACTGTTTGGTTATTTCTACTTTGTGACTTTTTTCTGAAAAACATGTCTGCCCATTTGAATTTTTATCTTGTATTAAGATAAAAATCACATAAACCTTACTGTCTGTTACCTCTTTCCAAAGTAATTTTGTTACATAAATTAGAATTACATTGAAGAATTATAGTAATGAACAGTACAGTAGTTTTCCTCTATTTAAAAAGCTGCTGTTAATGTAAGCATAGAGCATTCATGATCAGGAACTGGAATATTTGATATTGTAAGATTAAGAAAGCTTAAAGCATTTTTCTTTTTTACTTTTTTAAAAAACCATTTATGTTTCTAGGCAAGAAAGGAGATTCTTAAGATCCATACACGAGAATGGACCCCTAAGCCATCAGAAATATTTCTACAGGAGGTTGCTGAAAAATGTGTTGGTAAGAACAGGCATTCAAAATATTTTGCACAATCGCTTTCCAAAGATATTGTTTTGTATAGTTGCTTGGAAATATAGTTTTACATATTCTGCTTTGACCTGATTTTTGTAATTATTTAGAATGTGTGCAGGTATTTCATTATACAGTAATGGCCAAAATTGTGGAAACCTTTTGGGAAAAGTGTATTTTTGAGGTTTGATGGCTAATAACACCACTTTTTTGGGAGTAGTACCATAAAATTATATATCAATGGAAAGATAATTTAATCAAGAATGTAATGCAACAAAGTTTGTTCAATTATCTGTACTATATTCTGCGAAAAGCTATAGCCAAATAACAGAAAAAGGAAGCATAACTTGCTTAGGTTGATATTAGGTAGCTTTCCTTCATCTGATTGCAGCCAATAAGCATGAATATTTAGAGAGCCAATCAGGTGTCATCTTGTTTTGGCAATGAACCAATCAGATCAAAGTAGGATTCCGTTATTGATGTCATGTATTGAAGCTGAGAGGAGGACATTTGTCAGTGTGTTATGTGATCACTATCAAGTTGATTGGGATTTTTTTGTGTTCTTTCATTTAGTGAGCTTGTAAAACATAATAAAATTAAAGTAATGGTGCAAAGAGTTGATTGGTCACACAGAAAGCGATGTAAAATAGTATTATTAAGTGAACAAGGCTACAGTTATAAAGAAATTAGAAGAAAAATGGGTGGAAACTTAACCAAAGGTGGCATTTCTACTGTACACTTTTCCCAAAAGGTTTCCACAATTTTGGCCACTACTGTATATTTGCACAAGTTAATGACGAGCTTCATCTCTGAGCATCTATTTTTGTACGGCGATTAAGGTGCTGGATTAGAAACTGGAGACCATAAATTCTGGTCCTCCCCTAGGCATGAAAGCCAGCTGAGTAGCGTTGGGCCAGGTTTTTTTTAGCTTAACCCACCTCACAGGAAGGATGGTGGTTGTGAGGAAACTAAGAGGGGAAAGGAGTATGTATGCTGGGTTGAGTTGTACAGAATAAAGATGGGCTATAAATATAACAGCAATAATAACTGTTGATTCTCCTTAAACCCAATAATAAAAGACTGCTGCATAAGCAATTGGTCCCATTCTTGATCTGCTTTTGCTGTAAAGAATTTTCCTAGTAGTCGCTGGAAACTGGCAATGTGCATAGAAAGCTCAGAATAATGTCATGATTTATAGAAGTGTATCTTTTAAAAAAAATTAAGAGAAAAAAATTAGGCAAGGGATACAGGTAGTCCTTGATTTATGATCATTTGCCCAGTGATTGTTCAAAGTTACAATTGATCCCCAATCACATGATTAAAATTTGAGCCCCAGCTCAGTGCTTTTGGGTACCTTACACTTTGCCATAAATACTGCCCCACTCCACTACCCCAACTGACCTTTGCCATCTTCGTCCTTCTGCTGGTGGCCTGGGATCCAGGTTCTGGGTGAAGCTGCAGCCCTGGGATGCATAGGGTGAGGGCAAGGAGAGCCAATGGTGGTTCCAACCAGTGAAGGTGGAGGCTGTGTACACTTCCTAGTAAACTAAATACATGAAACAGAATACAAGGAAGAATTTCTAATGTATTGCAGAGGGATTTTTTTACACTTTAGTTGACTGCCAGAAAGCAGTGTATGCCTGCTTTTATTCTTTAGTGCTTGACAGAAAAGATTGAGTGAGGGATTGTAAATTATATATAAATGATGGTTATGAGCTGAAATGATTATATATAAATAGCGGAGCAATTTGACATATGTACTTAATCTTGGTAGAATACTTACTAAAGAATGCTAAAGCCCATGAGACCATCTTTCTATCCCATTTGTTGTAATGAAATGGAAGTTAGATACATTAAGGGAACCATAAAAATGACTTGCTTGCTGGAGGCTTGGCAGATATAAAAAGTGTATAATTAAACAAGGGAATCACTGAGAAATGAGTACTAAATATGAACTGAATACAAATAGCAAGCGACAAAGACATTTGAAGTAGTTCCATCATTTAAGGGAATAAATTAGGATTGAATTGCAAGACATATATGAGGGAGGAATGAAGATCAAAAAGATAATAATTGGAGGAGTTCATGAGTTTCTGGGAAAGAAGTTTTTAAAATGCATTGTAGAAGCAAGGATGGCTTGCAAGAAAAATGAATAGTCAATATAAATAGGTATCTTTTTCTTATCAATATAACTTAAGGGGGGGTGTTACTTAATAATCTTCTGCAGTTTTTTTTAAGTCAGTCTTGACTCCTCACAGCTGCCTGAAGTAGTCCCTGCAGTTTTCTCAGCACAATTTTGAGAAGGGGTTTCCTGGCTTTGGACCTAAGGCAGTACTTACAGTCTTTAGCCTCATGACTTGATCATCATACCAATCAGGCTGTCTTACATGACAGTACTTATTCTAATAAGTAGCATGATAGATATGCATATACCTACTATTTTTGCATCTATTCACAAATATATGCATTCCTTTTTATTTCTTAAATTCTCCTTTTTTACACCTGTAAGTTGCCCATGTTGGGAAACACACTTTAGAAACATCTGTAAAGCATAATGCCCAGATGGATTTAAAAAAGGGAAACATTTCTATATTCAGTTACCAGTCTTGTGATGGCAGATTCTTTCCTTCAGGGAGAGAAGAACTTTCCCAATTTCTTACATGGTTCATGTATCATTAAATGGCTTTAAACTGATTATTTAAAGATATTTAATACAAATGTTTTTCTTTATAGGGTACTGTGGGGCTGATATTAAATCAATATGTACGGAGGCAGCCTTGTGTGCCTTGCGTCGACGTTATCCTCAGATTTACACCAGCAGCGTGAAGCTGCAGCTAGATATCTCTTCTATTAACATAATGGCTAAAGATTTTGTGGTTGCTATGCAAAAGACTATACCTGCTTCTCAGCGGGCAGTAAGCTCACCTGGCCAAGCACTCTCTACAATTTCAAAACCATTGCTTGAAAATGCACTGCAAAGGATCATGGAGGTAGTACAAAATGTATTTCCACATGCAGAACTGGCACAGAAAGGAGGGAATAAATCAGGTATTTAAATTTCTTGCTTTCTGAAACAGAATAAATTTAGGACTAATAGTTAAGTCACCCTCATTTTAATAAAATATTAGCACTGAAGGACTTTACCTTTTCCTCTTCTCTTTGAAGGAAGGGGTGGAAAAGAATCTGCAGAGTGATCTTTTAGTTAACCAGATTAATTAAAAAAAAAAAAACCAGTAAGATTCAGTAAAGTTTATTTACTTGCAGTTTTTGATAGAGGTCTGTTTGCTGTGGAATGAGTTGTGTACAAGCAAAAATGTTAGTATATCCTTTCCGAATCCATGTTGTCCAGACGTTTTAAGAATACGACTTCCTGGCTTCCCAAGCAGCATGAAAGTCAGACAATTGGAGAAGCTGTTTTAATGGTGGTCATTAACAAATTACTAATGGAATCAAGATGCTGGACAATAGAGCCATTTTGGTTTAATAGCTAAGGCAGGCATCCCCAACTCCTGGGCCACAGCCCACTACAGGGCCGTGGCCAATTTGGAACTGGCCCATAGAAGCAGTGGGCGAGTGCGCGCATATAGCTACACATGCACGAGTGATGGGGAGTGCGCACGCGAAGCTCTAAGCGCAAATGGAGCTATGCACACTCGCCCGCCGCTCATGTGGCACCATCCTCTCTCCCGCTGGTCCACAAAGCTGGAAAGGTTGGGGACCGCTTGATTAAGGCACCAGGCTAGAAGAGCAGGAGGCTGTCCACTTTCACCATGAAAGCCAGCTGAGTGACTGGGCGAATCTCTCTCTCAGCCCAACCACCTCACAGATTGTTGTTGGGAAAATAGGAGACGGAAAGTGTGTTAGATATGTTTTCTGCCTTGAATTATTTGTAAAAATAAAGGCAGGATAAAAATAAGTAAATAAATAAAATATGGTAGTATTATTTTCAGCTATGGAACTAGCCTGAATATTTTAATTAAATTACCTGGTGCACTCATCCCAGAAATTATTGTAATCATCTCAGTCATCCATATCGGATACCTAGTTTCATAAGAAAGCAGAGACGGAGAAAGGAATAAGTATGCCCCCTTTACTAACTAAAGCTTCCTCCTCCTCCTCTCTTATAAATATTGATCTAATAATTGGAATGTTTATTGTACAATCAGTTAATCGTTATTCAGTCATTCATCAGCAAGTAAAACAAAAGAATCACAATTATTTAGGATAAAAAAAGAAAATATTGTAAAATATCTAAGAGGGTGTGATGGGCTCAGCAGTTAAGGCACTGCATTTGTCAGCTGGAAAGCTGTCAGCCCAGGTTTGAGACCTGAGCACCAAGCAGCAGGGTGAGTTTCCGTTACTTGTTCCAGTTCCTGCCAACCTAACAGTTCCAAAGCATGCAAATGCAAATAGACAAACAGGTACCACTTCGGTGGTAAAGTTACTGCGTTCCATATTTTCATTCTGGCTACATGATGATGGAAACATCTCCAACAGTGCAGGCTTCCTCGGCTGAGAATCAGAGATGAACAAAGCCCCCATGAGTTGGTCACTACTGGACAGGGAAATCTCTAAACCTTTAAAATATCTAAAAAAGTTAGAAGAAATACTGTAGTACTGTGCAAACTATAGAACAGTATTTAAAAACTATTCAACTGTGCTCAAGAAGTAAAATAAGATTGATGTGATAATAACTTAACATAAAACAAGTTAAAAGACCAGGACGTTGAGTAAGGAATGGAGGGACAATACAATACAATCTGGAGTATCGTATTTTATTGTATCTGGCATTGTTCAATTATTTTTCCACCAATATACCGCTCTATTTTATCAATGGAAAAAAAAAACAATTGATATAAGTAACCAAAATAACATTGATCAGCCAAATAGGTTTGCCAGTAAAACAAATGGTCCTGTCTGTTGTCCCACGATGTATGTTTCTGCGATGCAGCAAACAGCAGAGGAAAACAGAAGAGTTAAGAACTAGCTTATTGTGAAACACCACTGCAGCTGAATAGATAGATACCCATGGCCCTTAGTGAATAATTGCTTCCCAACAACAGTTTTCCTGCTAGCTATTTTACATAGAAACCATGAAAACTAATTAAAGATTGTTCTAATTCCATCAAAATTATAGGCATGTTATATTTTGTGGAATAGAACAGCGGTCCCCAACCTTTCCAGCTTGGTGGCCTAGGAGGGAGGGGATGGCTCTATATGAGTGGCAGATGTGAGTGCACACAGCTCCATTTGCCCGAACGGGTGCGTGTGCCCACCACTCACACAAATGGAGGTTCACACATGAGTATCCGCTGCTTGTGCAGCCCGGTTCCGAACGGACCAAGGCCCGGTGGTAGGTCACAGCCCAGGGGTTGGGGACCCCTAGAGTAGAATGTACTTTTAAATAATCCAGTTTATTTAAAATTTAAATAATCCAGTTTGATTAAAATGTTAAGAAAAAGCAAAAATAAGTGTCTAAAATATGTACATTTGAGCTGTAATTTAATAGATAGTACATAATGTACTCTGAGGCCTTTTTTTCATTTTTATTTGTATTTTCATTAGAAAGTTGGTATCGGGCTTCGTGACAACTTACTCCCTTTAGTTGCCTGTGTTGAAATAAAAATTTAAAATTGGCCTTAGAAATAAGATTCAATGACCCAGTGAGAACAAAAAAATCTTAAATTAACCTTGGAAATAAGATGCAATATTCACATGAAAAACTTTGCTTTTTTGTTTCCTTTAAAGATTTTGCTAATCATGCATCAGAACTTGATCTGCTATACAGCGATGAAGAAGGACCACCGGTATTTGAAACAGGACATTTTCAGAAAGGCTCTCAAAAGCGGACACATTTTCTTAATTTTAATAGGTGGGTGATCCATGGTAATCTCCCCCCCCCAAAGAAACCCCTAATGTGTACTGTTTTCATGCATGTTTTAGGTTTCCTTCCCTACTGAATAAGATTTATTCATTGCTTTGCGTTCCTTGATCGGTACCAAAATTTAAAAGAAGGGTATTATTTTGCACAGCTTTTGGATGAACTTGTACATAAATATATGAATTAGAACAATGAAAAGCAGAGTGAGAAAAGGGTATTTACTGATGCTATCACAGATTAATTTTTAAGGAGAAAAGATGGAGATATTTAACTTTGTATTTTTGGTATGCATACGGGTAATTTAAAAAAAACAAAATCAAAAACTATACAGGTCACCTATGCTTGCAGTTTTTGCCAGTTTGTGATAGCTTAGTTGTTGAAGCACTACATATATCTATATATGAATGAACTGAAATACTTTATTACATCCTTTACTGTTTTGATTTAAAAATGGGGCTCGGATATTTAAAATTTGTTAAGTAAAAATAATTACTTGAAGTTTCAGGCTGATCTTGGATCTTACATGAACGAAAAGCTAATATTTGAGTTGAGTTAGGAGCTCCTTGTTTTCTTTTTTTCTTTTAATAGAAATGCTTATCACCAACCAACATCTTGCCGACCAAGACTCTTAATTAGTGGGAAGCCAGAATATGGACAAGCCTCTCATTTGGCTCCAGCAGTCATACATGCTTTGGAAAAGTTTCCTGTTTATACACTAGACCTTTCTATTCTCTTTGGTGTCAGTTCCAAAACCCCTGAAGAAACATGTGCACAGGTATTTTATTGTCTTTTACCATTTCGTTTTTAAGAAGACGTTTTGGCTCCAATTGCCTTCGTAAGTCAAGGACTACCTGTAAACATTTTCCCTATTCCTACAGAGAATAGCAACCTTGGAGACGGATGCTACCTCTCTTCCAGTGGTTACCAAGTTAAATTTCCAGGAAATAGAAATTCCTTCTTCCTGGCAATTTCAGTATGAACAGATTGGAGAACAAGAGTTTGCTTCTGACTTTTTAGTAGTTCTGCCTGCAATCTTAAGAGGGCAGAGGCTGGAGAATTTTTTTACATGCCAGAATCTTTTGTCACATTAGGGTCATTTTTGACTGAAATCCAGACAATGTTTATTTCTTGTAACTTGTCCAGTCTGTTTTTCAAAACATTATCTGATTTCAAGTGGAAATTTAAAATCCAAAATTCATGGCAATCTTCCACTGAATAGTTCAAAACAAAGATTCGTTTCCATCTTTCAAATTTGTTATTTTCAAGAACAAGACGAAACGATCGCTAGCAGTCTGTATTCCAAGACAAGATATGGATCAGATTTGTCAAGCCTAGCTGGCAAACCAAAATAAGTGAGAACTACCCTGATTTGAGAAAGGTATCTTTAATGCTAGCCACGAGTAAAAGCATAACCTTGAAAACTCAGTGTAAATTCCTATTACAGGCTTAATTGACTCTCTATAAAGCCAAGTCTTTTTACAATGTTTCTGTTGTGGTTCCGGCTAATGAAACATATTGTATATTCTTGCTTTTGACAGTTTCATTTCCATAGTTCTACTTCTGGGCTCTGTTGCTACTTCTTAAACTAGACTCCTCTCTTACCTTCTTCCACAATCTTTCATGCGTTTAAAAACTTGATTTTATCAACGGAAGCCCTCATAATTGGCTATTTCACAAACTCTTGTGGAATATAAGTATAGTTTAAATTATGATCTGTTAAATGACTAGTTAATTACTAAAGTGGACAACTGCGTTTGTTTAGTGATTAAAACGTCTTCTTTGTCTAGTTGATCTGTGAAGCTAAGAGAACAGCACCAAGTATAATATACATTCCAAATATTCATATATGGTGGGGAACGGTTGGACACACTTTGCAAGCAACATTTACTACACTGTTACAGAACATTCCATCCTTTGCTCCTATTTTTCTCCTTGCAACATCAGATACATGTCATGAAGTTCTGCCAGATGAGGTATGTGCAGTTTGTTCATAGGATAATCCATTGTACCTTATTGTAACTGATTTTGTCCTTGTTTAGCAGCATAGTCAAGCTTAGGATAAAGAATTTTTTTAAAAATCCCTCCTAATTCACACCTTATTTTTTTAAGAGAATGTTTTTCTTTTCAAAAAAGTATGTATACACACACATTCTTGCCTCATACTTCAGTGTTGCTTGCTTATCAAAAACTCTGTTGTTGAATTACTCTAAATGTTTCCCATTATTGTATTTTATTGCTCTCTTTATTTTTGTCAAACTTTCTGCATGAAGCATTATTAGTTCAATAGTTCTAGAATTTTGCCCTAACTACAGATACAGTAACTTCAGTTACCCTTTGATTTTTTTTTATACATTATTTCTCTTGTTGATTTGTTTACATGATGTAATCTTTTTTTAGGTAAAGGAATTATTTGTCGATGGTTTTGGAGAGGTTTTTGATGTTCATTTGCCTAATTTTGAAGAAAGAAGGAGATTCTTTGAAAGTTTAATTCTCCATCAAGCAGTTAAATCACCGGTATCAAAAAAGAAAGCAGGTAGATGTGGTGCGAATACGTTGGATAAAGCTTATTGTAGGTGGATTTGTAAATAGCTACATGTTTTACAAATCTGTTTTCCTTCTTAAGTTTTGCAGGCGTTAGAGGTATTACCAGTAGCTCCCCCACCGGAACCACGGCAGCTGACCGAACAGGAAGTCAAACAGCTTGAGGAGCAAGAAGAAGATACTCTACGTGAGCTCAGAATTTTTTTAAGAAACGTGACACACAGACTTGCCATTGATAAACGCTTCAGAGCTTTTTCCAAACCTGTCGATTTGCATGAGGTAACAAGTTTCAGAATAATTTGTTTTCTTCTCTTGTACATTCCGCAGTGCAATCATCGACCATTTTTTTTATTGAAAATTTTTAAATTTTACAAAAAAAAAAAGTTCCCTTCCCCCAACCCACCCCAACCCTCCCCCAACCCTCCCCCAACCTTCCCAGAGCTGAATACAGGCTTAATTAAAATTTAAAAGAAATAATTTTAAACACAAATGAACCATATACAAATTTGGTTACAATAATTAAACAAATCATAAAATACTTTAACACCAATACTTAAAAAACAGAAAGAGAAAAAGAAAAGAAACAAGAAGAAGATAAAAAGAAAAGAAAAAAAAGGAATTAGAAAAAGAAAAAATATCTAAAAATATCTTAAACTTTAAATATAAATTATTCAAAAGCTAAGTAATATTTTTTTATATCATACTTGTATTGTATAAAATTTATCCATCTTTTCCATACCAAAAGGTACTTCTCTTGTGATTGATCTTTCAAAAAAGCCGAAATCTTTGCCATTTCCGCTAAATAAGAAACTTTAAGAAACCATTCTTGCAAAGTAGGCAAAGATTCCTTCTTCCAGCATTGCCCTACTAACAACCTAGCCGCTGTAATTAGATTTAACATTAATGTAGTTTCTTTACTGTCACAGTCGGAAACAATACCCAACAAAAACAATTGTGGAGTAAATTTTATCCTTCTTTTAAAAATTCTTTGAATATTCCACCATATCTTAATCCAAAAAGCTTTTATATTTTTACATAACTACCAAATATGATAATAAGTAGCATCCAAGCAACCACATCTCCAACATTTAGGCTGCAAGTTTGAATACATACAAGACATTTTTTGTGGATCAAGGTGCCATCAGTAAAACGTTTTATAAAAATTTTCCCGTAAGTTTTGGGCTTGTGTAAATTTAACATTCCTCACCCAAATAATCTCCCAAGTATTTAATGGAACCGATTCATTAAAGTTTTGTGCCCATAATCATCGACCATTGTTGATTATATGAAGTTCGAATTTAGTTTGAAATTTGCCAAATGTTGCTATTAGATCAGCGGTCTCCAACCTTTCTGGCTTGATGGGCCAGGAGTGGGGTGGTGGTAGAAGGGGGTGGTTTCATGTGCGCGGCGCCGCTTTCATAAATGCAGCTTTGTGCCCTTGCCAACCACTTCTGCTGCCTGTTTCTGAAAGGACTGTGATGGGACTGGGCTGTGGACCAGAACTTGGGGCCCCCTGTGTCATAGGGTTGTAACTATATCAGTTAGAAAAAGTAATGAATGCAGACAAAACTTACATGAAAATAATAACCTAAATGCTGCTCGAGATGAATACTGTAAATGGTAAACTTGATTTTAAAATACCAAAATTTGAGAGCAATTCTGGGATGGGTACATCTTCACTAAAGGCAACAAAAGATCTCAGATCTGTTAAAAGTGTTCTCTCTGCCTCTGTTGCTTACCGTTTGATCAAAACCTGCTTGGCATTTCCCCATCTTTCATTTGCTTGCATTCCTTTCTCTTCCTTTCTGCGTTTACCCTCTGCCTTTGTCTGCTCTCTTATTTGTCTTCTTAGACCTTCTTGTTCATGGGTTGAATGTTTTTCATTTCTCTCTTCTCAAAGGAATCAGGGAAGAAGAAAGGGATTTTGGCACATGCTTTGTATATCTCCTTCCAAAACGTAAATATCAGGACCTTGTATAAGTCTCAATAGAACAATCTGTACATGATGATGAAAGGTTATATGCTTGACAGATGTTAAAAATTACAATGATTTTTGGTCTGGTCCAGCAGGACAGTTACCCAGTTCTGGTTCTGTTTTCTTTCTTCTGTTCTCTTTTATTCGGTTTTGTATGTCTTGTGTCAAGGGTGAGCAACTTCCTTGTGATTAGGAACTGTAGGGATCATAACCAGTGATAAAATGATTCCAATTGAATAGGCAAGTCAAACTCCTATTCTCCCAAGTTGTCATAAGTAATTGGTTACATTTCCAGAACTGTGCAGTTGACTAAATGACTTTTGGTTTTCCCAGCAAAAATTGAATACAAAATATGACCTTAAAAAGGTAGTTCAAAAGCCTTAATGCCAACATTTTCAGGTATCAACCATTCTTAAAACATACAGAAATGTAAACTTATTTTACTCCTGAAGGCAGATGATATATTCAGACTTTTTTCTTACAATGCTCCTGTAGGTGCCAGACTATGTCACAGTCATCAAGCAGCCAATGGATCTTTCAACCATTATTTCAAAAATTGATCTCCACCAGTATCTGTCTGCCAAAGATTATCTAAAAGATATTGACCTTATCTGTAGCAATGCATTAGAGTACAATCCTGATAGAGATCCTGGAGGTAAGCCTTAGTATTAATGTATAAGCAAACTGTTATACAGGTAGTCCTCAACTTAACAATCACAATTAAGCTCAAAATTTCTGTTGCTAAGTGAGACAGTTGTTACGTGAATTTTGCCCCATTTTTTTTTACTTTTCTAGCCGTAGTTAAGTGAATCTGGCTTCCCTATTGACTCTGCTTGGCAGAAGGTCACAGAAAATGATCACATGGTCTTGAGATGCTGCAACAGTTGTAAATGTGTGAAACACTTTTTCAGTGCTATTGTAACATCGAATTGTCACTAAACAAGCTTTGTAAGTCAAGGACCACCTGTATATTACGTTAAATAATCAGATGTTTTAAAAGCCTGCTGTACCCAACTTGTTCTCTTATCAAATTAAAAAAGACATTAAGAGTAGTGTAACTTGAAGCCTAAATGGTGCTATTAAAAGGTATTAAACTTCATATTAACCATTTATTAAACTTTTACCAGACCTTTCTGTGGAACTATTAACTTCATAACAAAGTATTTTCTTATGTATTTGTTTTAGATCGTTTGATTAGGCATAGAGCCTGTTTTCTCAAAGATACAGCCTATGCTATGATAAAGGAAGAAATGGATGAAAATTTTGAACAACTTTGTGAAGAAATTCAGGAATCACGCAAAAAGAGAGGTGGGTTTTCTCACAATTTGGCACATTAAAAAGTTGCAGAATGATTTTAACACGATTATGTTGTATAATAATATATAGCATAACTGTAATTGGAACAGAGAGAATATACCTGTGCATATTCTGTGTATAAGAAGCATTTTATTTCAGGCTAGAAGACTTAAAGTTGTATCAATAGCAGTAGCACTTAGACTTCTATACTGCTTCACAGTGCTTTACAGCACTCTCTAAGCAGTTTACAGGGTCAATATATTGCCCCAACAGTCAGGCTCCTCATTTTACCGACTATGGAAGGCTGAGTCAACCTTATGCTGGTGAGAATCAAACTGCTGGCAGTCGGCAGAATACTGCATTCTAACCACTGTGCCATCACGGTATCAGATGCCTCTCTGCCAGAATTCCTTTCTTTAGAAATGTGGCATCATCCCCAAATGTATTTGTACACAACCTATTAGAGTAGTTTAACAAGGGTAAAGGATTCTTACAATCTATTGTTACTTTTAAAGGTTGCAGTTCTTCAAAATATGCTCCATCCTATTACCATGTCATGCCAAAGCAAAATACCACACTGCAGGATAAGAAATTGGATTCTGAATGTGGTGACAAGATTAAAAGCCCACCAACACCTCTGGATTCTAGTTCTCCTTTCATTCATAATGGTAAGTGCTGATTGATCTGGTCTTGCATTGCAAGTCAAGAATGGGTGCGCTTGAATTTTCTCTTGAACTATTTCTACTAAGCACTAATTTAGTGGATCGTTCATTCTCTGGTTCCTTAACCCTATAAATAGAGGATGCATAAAAATTTTGTGTAAACCACATCTCATATCCTACTGATGCCACTCTGCAATTGTTTTACTATTTAGCCACATTGCAAACAAACAAACAAAAAAAACAACGATTACTGCATTGCTTTCTTCTGGCTTCTTTCTTAAAATGCTGTCCTTTTTTGCTATGTGAATAATTTGAGAAATGAAGTAGGCCATTAGATCCTGCAGAAAACTTTTTTTTTTTTTTTTTTTTTTTTATTAAAAGTTTTATAAATTTTACAAAAAAAACAAAAACAATACAGAACAAAAAACAACATATACAAAAGAAAAAAAAATTAAACAATACATATAAAAAAAACCCCCACCCCACACCCCTCCCAAAAACCCTCCCTTCCCCCCCCCCTGAGCTTCCCAGAGCAGAATATAGGCTTAAGAAATAATAAAAAAAATAAAAAAAATAAAATAAAAATTAAATTAAAAACTTTATATTTATATATATAAAAAAGATATCTATAATATATATAAAAATAAAACTTATGAAAAAGCTATATAATATTTTTGTATACCCAATCTAAATTGTATAAATTTTATCCATTTGTCCCAGATAGCAAAAAACTTCTCTTGCGTTTGTTGCTTTAAGAAAGCCGAAATCTTTGCCATTTCTGCCAGATAAGCTACTTTAAAAAACCATTCCTGCAATGTAGGCAAAGATTCCTTCTTCCAATATTGTCCAACTAACAGCCTCGCGGCTGTAATCAAGTTTAACATCAATACAACCTCCTTTGTATCACAATCTGTAACAATACCTAACAAAAATAATTGCGGAGTAAATTTTACCCTCCTTCTAAAAATTCTCTGGATATTCCACCATATTTTGATCCAAAATGCTTTTATCTCTCTACATGACCACCAAATATGATAATAGGAAGCCTCCTTATAACCACATCTCCAACATTTAGGTTGCACGTCAGGGTACATGTAAGACATTTTTTGTGGATCAAGGTGCCATCTATAAAACATTTTATAAAAATTCTCCCTTAGATTCTGTGCTTGAGTAAATTTGACATTTCTCACCCAAATAGTTTCCCAGGTGTCCAATGAAACTGGCTCACCAAAGTTCTGCGCCCATCTAATCATACAATCTTTAATTAGTTCCGTTTCTGAGTCCAATTCAACTAAAACCCCATAAATTCTCTTAATGTGGGTTTGTCTTTGATCCTTCAGTTGCTTAATAAGATTTTCATCTTCTCTAAGAAAACCCACCTTACAATCCATCTTCCATCTATCTAGTAGTTGCCTATATTGGAACCAAGAATAAGTAAAATTTTCTTGTGCTAATTCTTCCCGTGATTTTAATTGCCAGTTTTGTCCATCCCATTTAAGTAACTGTCTGTAAGACACCATATCCATTTTAACCCCTCTTTTTATTCCTTCTATCGCATGCCAAGGTATAGCCCATAATGGTACTTTAAAATCACTTTTATAATATTTTCTCCAAATCCTAAGTAAAGAAATTCTTAAAATATGAGATTTAAAAGCCCAATCTATTTTTTTATTAAATATTAAATAGGCATGCCACCCATAAAGTAAATCCCATCCCTCTAGATAAAGTATCTCAGAATTTGTCAAATTTACCCAGTCACTAATTAATGTTAAAACCACCGCATCATAATATAATTTCAAATTTGGTACCTTGAGTCCACCCCTCTCACGGAAGTCTTGCATAATTTTGAACTTAACCCTTGGTTTTTTCCCTGCCCAAATAAATTTATTGAGACCCTTCTGCCACTCATTTAAATTAATCTCATTTTTCAAAATTGGTAACATTTGAAACAAAAAAAGAAACTTGGGTAGAATATTCATTTTTATCACTGCAATTCTTCCCATGAGGGATAATTGCAGCTTTTCCCAATTCTTCAAGTCTTTCTGTACCCCGACCCACAACCTTTCATAATTATTTTTAAATAGTTTTGCATTAGAAACAGACAGCATCACCCCCAAATATTTTACCTTATTAACAATCTCAAAACCCGTCGAGTTAACCAAAATCTGCTTCTCCTGACTCGACAAATTTTTAGGTAAAATTTTAGTCTTATTTACATTAATCTTAAAACCCGAGACCAAACCATAATGGTGAATCAACTGTAATAAGTTTACTACAGAATAATCAGGTTGCGACAAAGTAACAACCAAGTCATCCGCAAAAGCTCTCAACTTATATTCTTTTTTATTAACATATATTCCTTTAATTTCCTGAGACTCTCGAATTTTAATCAATAATATTTCCAATGTTAAAACAAACAACAATGGCGATAAAGGACACCCCTGTCTAGTACCTTTCTCTATTGTGAAAACCTCCGACAAACCTCCATTAACAATAAGTTGTGCTGTTTGTTTTTGATATATTACCTTAAGGGCTTGTAATATGTTTTCACCAAAATTCATTTCTTCCATTACTCTTAGCATAAAATGCCAATTCAGTTGGTCAAATGCTTTTTCAGCATCTAAAAATATGAGCCCTGCAGGAACTTGGTTGTTCTTATCTAAGTATTCTAATAAGTTAATAATTTGTCTAACATTGTTTTTCATATACCTTCCTGTTATAAACCCTGATTGATCTTTATGCACAAGATGATGCACCACCCTCATAAGCCTATTTACCAAAATTTTTACAAATATCTTATAATCCACGTTTAAAAGAGATATAGGCCTATAGTTTTTTGGTAAAGTAAGATCTTGATCCTCCTTTGGAATCAATGATATAAAAGCACTACGCCATGAAGGAGGAATCTCTAAACCCTGTAAGATACCATTAAAAAGATCATTTAATGGTTGAATCATCTCCTCCATTAAAGCTTTATAATAAACAGCTGTTAACCCATCCGTACCCGGTGCTTTCCCTAATTTCAATTGTTGAATTGCTGAGGCGATTTCCTCCTTAGTAATTAAACCATTAATTTCATATTTCTGATCCTCAGTCAGTTTAGGAAAACTTGCCTCAGCTAAATATTTATTTATATCTAACAGTTGTACATTAGTAGATTTGTATAGGTTTTGATAATAATCCAAAAAAGATTTTTTAATTAATTCCTTCTGAGAAACTAGTTTACCCTTATAATTTATTTTCTCTATTATTCTCAGTCTCTGTTTCTTTCTTAATTGATAAGCCAACCATCTCCCCGGCTTATTAGCATTACAAAATGTATTTTGTTTCATAAATAATAAATTGGTTGCAGCTTGATCTGCTATCAACATATTAAATTGTGACCTTAATAACTTTACAGATTCTTTAGTGCTTTCATCAGAAGGATTTAGAATCAAAGCCCTTTCTTTTAATTTAATTTCATCTTCAAGTTCTCTACGTTTCTGAATCTGATTTCGCTTATAAAAATTATTCATTTTTATCAAAACACCGCGCATAAATGCTTTACCTGCATCCCATACCATTGACATTGAAGTCCCCTTGTACATATTCAAAGCAAAATAGTCCTTTAAACACTCCTTTAGTTTTTGAACATTCTTCTCTTGTCTAAACAAATTTTCATTAACTCTCCAGGATCTTCTTTCCTCTTTCTCTTGAATCAACTCCATCCAAACTGGACTATGATCCGTCAGTGATCTAGGAAAAATCTTTACATTCTTTACTTTATTATACAAATCCGTGGTAATCAAGAAAAAGTCAATTCTTGAAAAAGATTGGTGTCTGTCAGAAAAAAAAGTAAAGTCTCTCTCCTCTTGATTACGTTCCCGCCAATAGTCCCTTAATTCCCAGTCTTCTTTCATATCAAAAAAGGCTTTAGGTAGCCTTGCTTGTTTAAGAAAAGGAGAGGAACCTTTCTTATCCCTTTGTGTATCTAAGACACCATTCCAATCACCCATTAATACCACTGATCTATAATCAAGCAAAGTTATTTTTTGGTGTAACTGTTTATAAAATTGTTCCTGTTGTTGATTTGGAGCATAAAGTCCAACTATAAGTACTTTCTTACCATAAATACCAAGTTCAATCATCACATATCTCCCCTGGGGATCTGATTCTACCAGACAAGCTGGCAGGTTTTGTTTGACATATATAACAACTCCCCCTTTCTTCCCAGGTGCAGGAGATATAAAATGAGATCCCAAACGAGCATTAACTAAATATTTCTGATCTTTAAGTAGAATATGAGTTTCCTGTAAACAAATAACATCATTGGTATGTTGTTTCAAATAATAAAAGATTTTTTTCCGTTTCTGAGGAGAATTCAATCCATTAACATTCCAGGTCAAAAACTTTGCCATCTCCCTTGGCACGCAGCCTGGAGAAGACACCATCAAACTCTGACAGAGCTGCGTGTGTTGCATAACTCTTGGGTCTTGCTCCTCCCACCGGCGGTGATGCACTTCCAGGAGAATTCTCTTTGGGCTCTTTTTTACGTTGCTCTTTCTCTTTACGCTTATAAGCTGCACGAGTCATCCTCTGCTCTTTAGCCTCCGTTTGGCGTTGCTTTGCCACTTCTATCATCCCTGCGGAAACCAAATCTAGTGCCTCAGATTGCTGCTCAGGTTCCTTAGCACTCAAAGATTTCCGACCAGATGAAGTTGAGCCTGCACTCAGGACCGAAGTATAGAAATCTCTAGCTTTGTCAACTGTGTTCAATCTGTAACGTGTCCCAGCATGGCTCAAAACGATACCCATCGGAATTTCCCATCTGAATGGCATCGATCTAGCTTTAAGCTCATTGGTTAAAAAAGCAAAGTCTTTCCTACTTCTTAAAATTTTAGATGGGATTTCCTTTAGAATGATGACATCTTGGGCGGCAATCTGAAATCTTTTGTTGTAAAAAGCTTGTATAATCTCATTCCGCAGGGACTTCTTTGTAAAGTAAATCACCACATCTCTGGGCAAATTCTTCTGCTTAGCAATCCAGGAGTTGAGTCTATAAATTTTTTCTACTTCTCTCTGTAATTCTCCTTTATCCATATCCAAAGCCAGCGCCAGATCACTAAGAACCACCTCCATCAAATCTTGATTCATATCTTCCTTGAGGCCTCTAATCCTCAGAGCATACTCCATTTGTCTGTATTGAAACATCAAAATATCTTCTTGTGAGGAGTCCACCTTCCTTTCCACGTCTTGAATTTTGTCATCTAAAGAGTCAACTTTGTCTTCCACTTCCTCAAGCCTTGCATCGAGCTTAACCACCACAGTAGCCAAACCTGAAACAGCTGCCAGTATATCTTGTCGTAATTCATTATTATTTTCTTGCAATTTAGACTTTATCCCCGTTATCTCTTCTTTGAGATCAGATTTAATTTCTGATTTAATCTGTGAAACAAATTGAGTCATTTCCTCTCTCATTTGAACTACAATCTCTCCCATTATGCCTCTAACCTCTTGCACTGAAAGTCCAGGTAGAGGAGGGGAGGGTGGTGGCTGAGCCGGTGGTGCATGTTTAGATTGTTGTTGTAGCTGTGCAGTGGAAGTTATAGGAGAAGAAATAACCTTGGGTACTGAGGAAGGCTGCTGCCTCTTTGAAGCCATTTTAAAAAGCACAATTGTCACTTCCCTTTCCCCTCCAGCCAAAAAGGGAGGAGGAAAAAAAGAAAAAAAGAATTTTTAAAAAGAGACAAACTATAATCATTAAAAGTCCAGAATAAATCCCAAGAATAAGTAATAAAAGAGCAAACAATTCAAAAAAAAAAAAATTCTAAGCCAAAAGCAAAAGCAAAAGCAAAAAACAATCCTTAAAAAGGGAAAGTAAAACAAAAGAGAAAGGAAAAAAAAACTCCGACACTTTCAAAACGCCATCTTAAGTCCTTTCACTAGTATAACAAAGAAAAGGAGGAAAAATAGTAAAAATCAAAAGATAAAAAAATAAACACCTAAAATATAAGAAAAAGTCCTTTAAACTGCTCCGTCCGTTTAAAAATTACTCACCAAAATGCTGTAAACACGGAGATAGAAGCGGCGGTTTCTTTTGCTTCCAAGGAAGCAAAAACAGCTGGGAGGCGGAGATCAGCAAGAGCTCCGAGGGAACACTCCTTTCACCCCCTCTAGAAATAAATCCAGAGGGGGTTCAGGGGTTCTACCTCTACTCTTGCGTTCTCTATCCCTTCCCTTTGCCCGGGAAGGGATTTCCGAGCCGCGGGCCAGCTGATGCGCGCTGCGCTCCGCGGCTCTGACACTTCCCCAGCTGGACGGCTAAAAGCTAGCCGCCATCGCCGTCGCCTCCCACCGGAAGCTCCCCCTGCAGAAAACTTTTAAGTTGTTTCTCCCAATAAACATTTTATAATTTCGTTGCTGGTAGATTGTGCTTCCTCCCAAACAACCCATTTCTCAAATATTTGTATACTTGGAAAACGTACAGGTAGTCCTCAACTTTTGACCACAATTGAGCCCAAAGTTTCTGTTGCTAAGTGAGACAGATAGTAAGTGAGTTTTGCCCCATTTTATTACTTGCCACAGTGGTTAAGTGAACCACTGAAGTTGTTAAGTTGGTTACACGGTTGTTAAGTGAAGCTGGCTTCCCCTTTGACTTTGCTTGTCAGAAGGTTGCCAAAGGGGATCACATGACACCCTGGGACACTGAAACAGTCATAAGTGTGAAAAACGGTCCTAAGTCAGTTTTTTCAGTGCCGTTGTAACTTTGAACGGTCACTAAATAGACTGTTGTAAGTCGAGGACTCCTGTATATACCTGATCTTAAACTAAAAAGCTGAGAAACAGTGTATAAGTGGAATGTATCTGGTTCCTTCAGATAATGCAAAAGCGGTCTTTAGCATCCCTTCCATTTTTTTTTTATCAGGTTTTCAACATCTCTGTTTTCTGCTGGTTGGATGTCATACTCCAGTGGGAAAAAAGTTCAACCCCGTTCTCACCCCCTGCTAAGACCTCATGGCAAAAGAGCAGGGCCCCTTAGGCCTCAAAGTGACAGCTGCACAACACTAATAGCAGCATGTCTTCAATTTCTTATTCTTACACAATGCTTGCTTATTCAGCCAAGGAAAGGCCAAGAGACTTCCAAGCTGCAAAAGAGTTTTGCAAGCAGCTGCTGCAGCAGCTAAACAACATAACCCATAGTATTCTTCTGGCAGTTGTAAAACAGTGCCATTGCACAGAATGTTCACAATAATTAGTTGCGGTCACCTTGATGAAGATTCAGGAAGGGAAACATTAACGTAACAGACTGTGTTCATATTTAGTTTGAAAAATGCATAAAAATGAATAGGAAAGCAGAAACCGTAGCTTGAGGCGCTTTCAAAAAGAGAGGATGTCTGTATATTGTTTGTTTCTTTCCTATTTTACCCTTCTTGCAAATTAACTTCTAATATATATATAAAGGAAAATGTTGAGATTCAGGTCTAGCTTCATTATAGATCTTATAGTTATATAAAACTGTTTAAACTATTACACCAGAGAAGGCAAATAGTCTTTTTATGTGCAAATTAATATGTGGATTTTTTTGCATCTGTAGTAACGTAAGTAACTTGGTGGTTTCCCACAGTACTCCTCAAACTTGTTCTGAATATGTTAATTTTAAGTGAAAGAAAAACTAGTGAATTTGATTGTATTTTTAATGTAGCCTTATCGAAGAGAAGACTAAGAAGAAAGAGTCGATGGTGCCTGGGCAACCTAGCAAAGCGGAAAAAGACTTTGCATTTCAATAAGGAGAACAAAGCTCCAGGAGAAGAGCCAGATGAAGGGGAGAGCGATGGAGAAGAATGTATGGAAAATAATAACTCCAGTATGGAGCAGACTGAAGTTGAAATAACACAGACATCTCTAGATGACTCTGAAGATGTGCCTCCAAAGCAGCATATCAGTATATCTGATGCAGAAAATGAGCTCGTCATTCACAGTGATGTTAAGTGTAAATTTGACAAGACCAACAAGGATGCAGAACTTTCAGAACCAAAAAAAGCATGCAACGGTGATGCAACAGAACATTCACTAGATAGGGATGCTAATGGTGAGTAGAAAGTTGTCAAAATATACTTTAGGGCAGTAGTCCCCAACCTTTCTGGCTCCAGGGCCGAGGATAGCTTTGCACATGCAATCTAGATTCCATGCATGCACAGATGAAGCTCCGTGTCTTCGCCCGCTGCTTGTGTGGCCTGGTTCCCATCAGGCTGCGGATCAGTACTGGTCTGCAGACCCGGGGTTGGAGACCCCTGCTTTAGGGGGAGTGTTTAATTCTACCTCACGTTCTCTTAAATACTGAAGCGCTCTCTCCATTTTAATAATTCTGCCAGCTAAGTTTAAATTCACATTGCAATGCCAGGCTAACAGTATTAGTTAATTAGTTTTATTCAGTGACTTTGTGATTATTCCAGGGCCATTAGAATTATATTGCTATACTTAATGTTTTGTTTGTGGGATAGTCTCTTGGAGTTGCATAAAAAGAAAAAAAAATAGTTCCAGTATTCTGAAATCTTTTGGTTTGTGATGATTTTATTGCATGTATGACAACCAAAATCTCTACATGTGGCCCACCTAGGTAGAAGACCTTCCCCTCAAAACTGCTAATACAGAAACCAACACCTGAATCCTTGAAAAGAAAGCCTTGGGAAAGTAAGGGCACTTTCAGTTGGGAAACCCTAATATCCCATTTGTGGACTATAGAACAGGGGTCCCTAACCTGTAGGCCATAGCCCACTACTGGGCCATGGTCTATTGGCCACTGAGCTGCGGGACAGGCTGGCTAGCGCCTGTGAGCATGCGCAAACAGGGCTGCTAGCGCTGTGCGGGTTGTGCAGCCCGTTTGCACAAGTGTACGGGGCTAGCGGCGGCTGCTAGCACCTGCACACTTACACAAAGGGGGCCGCTAGCACCATGTGAGTGTGCACGACCCTGTTTCCGTACATCTGTGCACATGCAAATTTTCCAGCTGCTCCCTTTTCCTCTGGGCCGCCAGCATGAAAAGGTTGGTGACCTCTGCTGTAGAACACTCGCTTTAGTGAAATTTAGCAGTACAGAGGGCAGATTTTGATGTCAAGATTTTAAGAAAGGGTGTCAAAATAGGTATCCCAGCAGCTTCTTGATTCATGTGATCTGCAACTTTGCCTTTCTAAAACTGTGTATTTTTCAGTATATATCACAATGACATCAAGTGACCTCTTGTGGTTTCCTAGAAGGTCTGTAGGCCAAGATGTAACACTGATCTTTCAGTGTTTTCCACCCATAATAAGATAAGGTGAATCATCTCAACAATTGATGTGACGTATATATTTTTAGGCTTCAAATGGGCTATTTTGAAATATAGATTACTAGGCAGACTAAAATTCTATAGCAGTGGTTCTCAACCTGTGGGTTGGGACCCCATTTGGGGTCGAACGACCATTTCACGGGGGTCGCCAAACAAGGCTGTCCGCCATTTTTCCCCCTTTTCTTTGACCACGCCCCTGGCACCCGGTGATGTATAAGTAGTTGGGGGTCACCACAATATGGGGAACTGTATTATGGGGTCGCGGCATTAGAAAGGTTGAGAACCACTGTTCTATAGGTACGCTACCGCTAGATAACTACTTATAAGTGCCACAAGGCTTATTTTGTTTATTTACTGTATATTTTTCACATCATCTAGCAGCAATAAATCCTAGTTTTCCTTTTATTATTCTAGATATATGCATGCTTCGTATGACCCGTGCAAGGCGTTCACAGGTAGAGCAGCAGCACCTCATAAATGTTGAGAAAGCCATGGAAATTCTGTCAGAGCAAACACCACCACTCACAGTGGATCAAGACAAGCTGAATGTACGTTTTAGAGGGAACCTGTTACTGAACTGGCATTCTTCCTTCTCCATTATTTTTTTTTGGGGTATCTTAATATAGTGTACACCTGAGTGTAGAATGTCTTGCCTTCTCTTGTTGAGCATGGGGATGGATGGGTCTTATTTTTTCCCAAATAATTTATAGTGTTAAATCTGCTAAGTATTACATTGCTATTAGATCATAGTTTCTAATACTCATAAACAGAGTATAAATTATGCTATTTATTTTCTATACAGAGACACTTTCCAGTTCAGTGAATTGAAATGTGTTTGCACTCAAACCAAAAGAATATTTTGGAGGTTACAAACTAATATGTTAAACAGTTAAATAGTTTTGCAAAAGGAGAGCAGACAAAATAACTCAGGTTTACAAATAGCTCCACTATTTTATTTTTAAAATATCCTTTTATTCCATATAGGCAATTGGTCCTATGTTTGGGATATGCCAACTCGCAAAATATTCATGTGTTTTAATGTTGACAATTGGCTTATCATGAGTGATGCATTTTTCATGGTTTTTGGTTAAAAATTAAAGATCTGTTTATCCACAAGTAGACTTATCTAATATATACAAAATATACGTTTTAAAAACGTACTCTACATATTGCTCATAAGCCTGTTCACACATAGAACAAACCCATGGGGAGGGGGCTGCACAGTATTTTGGCATTTAAAATTCTTACTTATCTGCAAGTACATACTGAATGTATGGAATGCATAGCCAGGCTCCTGGCAGAAAATTATTTAATAAATGCTTGATCTTATTTGAAGGAATAAATAGTAGTACTCTGTTTCCCCCAGAAATTACTAAATATGGTTATTGAGAAAAGCGGTGACTACACTATTCTTGAGTTGGAGAAACTCTATGCCTTACTCAGTCAGTGTATTTATCGACATCGTGGAGACTATGACAAAAGCAAATTGATTGAGGTACAGTATTTTGCATGAATGTGATCTAGTGACAATTTAAGTCTGCAGCTGATTATATTACTAGCACTGTCTCATAGTAGATATCAAAGTTTGTATTGTGTTTTATTGCAGCTCTGCTCTTCTACTAGTGCAGTGATGGTGAACTTTTTAGAGACTGAGTACCCAAACTGCAACCCAAAACCCACTTATGCATCATTGGGTGCTGGGTGGGTATGGCCCTTTGGCTGAGTGTGACCAATTGGGTGGGTGTGGCTCATTGGGTGGGCGTGGCTGCAGTGGTAACTGCAGACTGGGTGGGACTAAAAAGTTCAATCAATCACTTCCAACTTTGCAAAATCTTTTTTTTTTCCTGCGAGAAGTTGAAATTGATTGATTGATTGAACCTTTTTTTTTATTTTTTTGCACACGGCAGCAGAGGCCTAAAGCGAAAAGGTTTCATAAAACCCAGCTGAAGGCCTAGGACTGGGGCGACAGTGCACATGCCCACAGAGAGGGCTCTCAGTGCCGCCTCTGGCACTCATGCCATAAGTTCACCACCACTGTACTATAGGGCTGTCGTTTGGGGAAAAAGTCAAAAGAGTAATTATACATTTGCATTTATTGGGACATGTGATTCCAAGTTTTGTCACTTTACATTTGGGGCAAGCAAGCTTCATTGTGCTTTTTACAATCTATAAACATCTTGTTGGCTCTCTTGTATTTGCATATATTTTGTTTCCCTGTGTGGTGAGCTATTCTATAGCAGTTTGGTATTCGTTAAGCCTTCGCTATAACAAACTATCTTCAGCTTTAAATCATTACTGACAGCTGATGCCTTTAAATGAGATCGCCTTATATCAGGGGTCCCCAACCCCCGGGCTGCAGTCCACTTCTGGGCCATGACCTGTTTGGAACCTGGCAGCTCATGGTGGGTGCTTGTGCACACAGCTCCGCTCGTGCAAGCGGCGGTAATTTCAATTCATTCTCGCCTGCCATTCACACAAATGGAGCTGTTCATGTGTGTACACTTGCCACTCACATGGAACTATCTCCCCGGATCCCTCACCCCATGCTGGGACACCAAGGCGGAAAGGTTGGGGAGTGCTGCTTTATATCTTATTCCTCTGTGTAATATTTCATCAACGTATCTAAATATTTAAAACATATGTGCAATTCATTATAAGGAAAAATGTTTTGAATACATCTTTAGGCGCAAACCAATAGTTTATGAAAAAAAACATCAATGCATGGTGTCAGCAACATTGTAGCGTGCTCATGAGAGATTTATCCTCCCTTTTCTGCCTTTTTTTTATTTTCTCATGTGGCTTTTGCAGCAGAATCCGAAAGGGACAAAGTTTCCAGAGAAACTGTCCTTCGGTAAGGGCTCTATAGAGGTTAATCTCTGACATAAGAGTGGAAAAGAATGGTGACCCATCCAGTACATAACTTGCATGACATAACAGAAAGTTTAGAGTTAAAATTTACCGCCTTTGGTTTAGTTATAGGCGTTAATTGGTAAAAAATGTTCTCATGGTTCGAATTTGCCTCCAAATCACGGAAACTTGGTTGATTTCTCCCAAATAATAATATTTCTTTATATCTAACTTTTCTTTTTCTCTGTTAAATGTTGAGATTTTGGAAATGGCATTGCTTTGATAGCTGAGTAGTGACTGTGAATAAATAGCAGACGGTTCATTGTTCTTTTAATATGTCAGTCCTGTCTTGTTTTGTTTCTTCCAACAAAACAGGAGCTGGAAATTTGAGCTATAGCTTGGTATCTGGCAAACAAGCCAGAGAACCATCATTCTGGCTTGTTTTAGCCAAAAGTCAGAAGAGCCACTCTGAAAATTCCATGAGTTAAGAAAAGAATCTGTCCTTGAAGGGAAATAGAAAATAATGACTGCTTGCCCCACCAAACCTGTGCAACACAAATTACAATTCAAAACTATAGTTCAACAACAGAAGGAGGTTACACAGCTAATTAAACTATGTATTCTTTTTTCCATTTTCAGGCAATGACAAGAGAAATTGCAGCCTTCAATCCATCTGAATTCATAATTTCATAATATCGTCAAACCCCTGAAATCCTATTGGAAATTAATGTGAGGTGAGACCAAATATTACATATGCACAGTAAGCTTTATCTAATGTAGCATTTCTAGATTTTTACCCATATGGAAGAGAAGCCTTAGTCTTTTAATACATTGAGAACAAGAATTAAAGAAGGCAAATGGAGGGGCCAGTGTGCCTGACAGTCATCCTACTGCATGCTTGCTTTTTCCTCTCTTGTAGAACTGAACCTCTTTAACAACTATCAGGATCCAATGAGTTTAAAAAAGAAACAGCCTAATCTGTCGTTATTTATGTGATCTTTTGAAAAATACATATTTTTTTCTGTAAATTGAATACAAATATCTTAATTTATCCCAATGATCTTTAATCAAATCATGTACATATGTTGAACTGCATGTGACGTTTTACTGTATCATCAAATTCCTTTGGAGACAAGATATTTTTGGTTCTCTTAGCTCAATTGAAATAGCATTCGTGTTTTTTTTATTGCACTAATTTTTAATGTTAATTCTGTTTGTACAAGCTTTGTAATGCTCCAAATGTTATGTAATATATAAATATGTTAAAATCTTAATGGACAAAATAAATTACTCTTGATATTAATTATAAATGGTATTTTTTTTTTCAGTTACATGTACTAGTTGCAACCGTAGCCCCAATCTCACTTGTTGAAGATTAAAATAATCACTGTTGTTTCTAGATTGGTACTGAGTAGCTCCATACTATGTGGATATGGAGATTGTGCCCATTGAGAGCCCCTCTGCATAACTGTTGACATTCCTTACAAATGCAGGTGATTTTTTTTTTATTGAAAATTTTTATAAATTTTTACAGAAAGACAAAAAAAATGACAATACAACAACAGCATAAAAGAAGAAAAAAACAAAACAAAACAACCCTTCCCCAAAACACCCACTCCCTTCCCCCCCCCCCCCCGGAGCTTCCCAGAGCAGAATATAGGCTTAATTAAAAAAAGTTAAAAAGATTATATAAAAAAAAGAGTATAACACTAATACACACACACACACACACACACACACACACACACACACACATATATATATATATATATATATATATATATATATATATATATATATATATATATGAGTTATAAAAAGGCTAAATGATATTTTTTATATCCAATTTAAATTGTATAAACTTTATCCATTTATCCCAAACAGCAAGAAATTTCTCTTGCGATTGTTCTTTTAGGAAAGTCGAAATCTTTGCCATTTCCGCCAGATAAGATACTTTAAGAAACCATTCCTGCAAAGTAGGTAAAGATTCCTTCTTCCAATATTGTCCTACTAACAGCCTTGCGGCTGTAATCAAATTCAAATACTGTAGTATCCCCAGCCCTGGTGAGTTTTCAATCACCTGCATACTACAGTACAGGTAGTCCTCAACTTACGACCACAATTGAGCCCCAAATGTATGCAAGCGAGACATTCGTTAAGTGAATTTTGTCCCATTTTAGGATCTTTCTTACCACAGCTGTTAACTGAATTACAAGAGTTGTTAAGTTAGTAACACGGTTGTTAAGTGGATGTGGTTTCACCATTGACATTGTCAGAAGGTCGCAAAAGGGCAGGGTACTGCAACTGTCATAAATATGAACCCATTGCCAAGCATCTGGATTTTGATCACAGGACCATGGGCTGCTGCGACGGTCATAAGTGTGAAAAACAGTCATGTCATTTTTTTTCAGTGCCTTTGTAACTTTGGTCAGTAAACAAACTCTTGTAAATTGAGAACTACCTGGCATGAAATGTTACTCCAGGTATTTTTTCACAGGACAAAAAAAGGAAACTCTTCTATTGCCTTCACTCTGAAATTTCCAGCTTGGAGGGTAAGGGTGTAACAGATGTGATCCCAGATGTTTTAAGGCTATGAAAGTTGCCCAGAACCATGGGAAATGCTAAAGAATCTTTGTTTTCCATTAGAACAGACATGTCAACCTTGCGACGTCACGTGATGTCGTGCGACATATCAGAGCTTTTTCTCCATTGCCAGCAATGAGGTGGGCGCGGTTTCCTGATGATGCGTCCGGCCCCTGGGCCAGTAGTTTGACACCCCTGCATTAGAACATACCTAATACTCAATTGTCTTTAATCTTCAAAATATTTCTTCAAAGTTTATTATAAACTACAGCTTCTCCTTTTGATTTTGCCCTCTGCTGCTTAACAAGAAAGGTTCATGTCCAAATTGTCTAGTTTTTTTAGTAAGCTAGGATCTGCAATATTGAATGTTAGATCAGGGAGATAAGCGTAGCAGGAGTTAGCTTTAAATGGTTTTTATAAGCTAGGTGAAATACAACTTTTAAATACAACTTTTGAGTGCATAAATCTAATTCCTCGTGTAATCTAATTGGATGAATAACTAGGAAAGTGATCTCAGGGTTGTGTGGATAGGAAAAAGAAAAGTCCGCTCCAAATGCTGTGATTTGGATGATCAAGGACGAGAAAACTGCCAGTATTGTAAAGCTTTCATCATTTAAAAAAAAAAGAAAAAGCACGGCTGAATTTGCACAATACGCTAATCCAAAGCCAAGTAAATAACCCAGCTCAGCATATTTGTGTACAGCATCCAGCTGGAGTTTGGCTTTTCTAAGTGAGCCATCACGTTTTAGCTAGACCATTCCCAATGCTTCTGGCACTGCCTTCATGTTAATTATTTAGAAAAATGTAAAATATTGATGTGTAACAGTGCAATCCAGTCTGCATCTAGAATGAACGGTGGGGTGGGTTCCTTTGTGCCACAACTGGCTTTTAGGAGTGTTCATTTTTTTCCCCAGGCACTGTTCTTTTCATATTGTATACCACCCAGAGCTTTATAAAATTTCATAAACAAATACAAAACCTGTGCAAAATACAGGACATAATTGAAATGGAGTGGCTTAGGGCAGTTCCTCCCCCCCTCCCCATTTATTGCAAACCCTGGCCTATGGTGAAACCGGACAGAGGCTTTTTGTCCTAAATGCTGGAGATCTTCAATCTGATGCTCTTCAGATGTACTATGAAAATATCTCCCAAACTGGTGCCAGAGTAATGGAGGAACCAGTGACCCACGAGCAGGGAACAGATGTCTGTGGAGATACTCAGTCATCCAGGTCATGATTGTCCCAAAGGTGCTTTTTCAAAAGGTAAATAAAGATGCTTCAGTTCTTCATGAGAAGCGAAATGTCTTCAAAGAAAAACAAAGTCCAGTTGCCTTTGGGAAAAGCACCTTAGGCAGCAACTTTTTTTCTTAATTGAAAAGGCATCATAACCTTCCACAAAAGAGGTTTTAGATGACTTGAAGTGCAAAAACACGATCGACTGCTAAACCTGGGGTGGAATCCAAGACTGATTCTCCTTTAAGAGTCGCCCAAATTTTTAAGATAAGATACAGTAACCTTTATTGTCATTTTTTACTGTTGGCACACTGGCACACATTAAAAGTGAAATTGTTGCCTGGTCTCAAAAAGTGTACACGTAACGCATGTAGACATACTATACACATACATATGTATATACCTACACCCTTACATATAAATGCATATAAATATTAAATCATTGTCCATCTTGAATACATAGTGGAAAGAGGAAGCTTGAGAGTTCACAAGGTTGATACTGTATGGAACAAAACTGTGACTGAATTGGGATGTTCTGCTTTGCATATCCCAAAGTCTCCTCCAGAAGGTAACAAGGAAAACAGGTCATGAAGAGAATGTGTAGCATCCCAGTTAATCCTGCGGACCTTGCTTGAGCATCGCTTACATGCCATGTCCTGGATAGAAGGGAAGGAACTGCCAATAACCTTTTCCGCCATCCTCACCACTCTGCACCGCCTTCCTGTTTGAGGCAGTGATGCTTCCAAACCAGACAGTAATGCAATATGACAGGATGCTCTCAATAGTCCCTCTGTAGAAAGTGGTAAGGTACCTTTACTATCATGTTTTAGTGTGGGCACACTGACACATTAAAAAATGAAATTCTGTTGCCTGATCTTAAAAGTGTACACATACAAAAACATACACATATAAGCATGCTATATACAACATATGTAAGTGGTGGCGAACCTATGGCACGGGTGCCAGAGGTGGCACTCAGAGCCCTCTCCAGGCATGCGCACCATGACCCCAGTCCTAGGCCTTGAGCTGGGTTTTATAAAACCTTTTCCCTTTAGGCCTCCGTCACTGTGTGCAAAAAAAAAAAAAAAAGTTCAGTCAATTTCAACTTCTCGCGAGAAAAAAAATCTTACAAAGTTGGAATTGATTGATTGAACTTTTTAGTCCCACCCAGTCTGCCGTTACCACCGCAGCCGCGCCTGCCCAGCACTACACGATGCATAAGCGGGTTATGGGTTGCAGTTTGGGCATTCAATCTCTAAAAGGTTTGCCATCACTGACATGTCTATACCAGGGTAGGCAACCTTGGCTCTTTTATGACTCGTGGACTTCAACTCCCAGAATTCCTGAGCCAGCCATGCTGAGGGTAAAGGGAGAGGTTTCCAAGCTGAGCCCTGCTGGCTCAGGAATTCTGGGAGTTGAAGTCCACGAGTCATAAAAGAGCCAAGGTTGCCTACCCCTGGTCTATACCTACATCCTCACATATGGGTTAAGCCCCCATCTGGTGGCTCTCATAAAGGGCGGAATGGACTTCCAGACCGCTTTGAACCGCTGCCCTAATTTTCCCGGGACCGCTCCGATCCTCCCCTTGGCTTGTGGGAGGAAAGAAAGCGAGCGGCCATTGGGGATCCCGCAGAGCGACCCGCCTTTTCTTTCCTTTTCAGCCCCGCCGGATGTCGCGCGGCCAATCAGGCGCTTGCTTTCTTTTGCCCCGGCTCGCTCACGGGGAGGCGGTGACTACACCCACCGGCCTCCTTTCCCACAACTCGGGGGAAGTGGGGGGGGGGAGTTAAGAGGCTCTTGCAGAGAGGGCTGGCCCCGCCCCTGGGCTGCTGCTCCTCCCTGCCTGTCCTCCGGGTTGAGCACAGAGGGATGCCCAGATCCACTCGCCGCCGCTTGCAGCGCTCGCGCCGCTTGCTCCCTCCCTCCCCCCCTCCTCCCTCCCCGTTTAATAAAACATATGCATTTTATAGCTCCGGACGCGCGTTACTTTCAACGAGGATTTTGCAACCTGGATGGAAAAAGTGAATCGGGAAAGGTGGTGTTTTTTTTTTGTTTACCCCCCTCCCCCTAAAAAGGATTTTAAAAAAAAAAAAAAGCTGGAATCCAGTTCAAAGTTCACAAAGCATCACTACCCCCTCCCCCCAAAAAGTGCAGTAGATCGTTTTTTTTTTAATGCAAGATGGCGGACTTTCCCTGAACAGGCACAATCCGAGGACTCAACAGCAGCCTACAAACATTGCGAGGTAGGGCTTTTTGCAACGGCTTCTTTCGGGCTGAGCACAAGCCCAGTCCAGTTTGTCGGAGTTCTGCCCCGGGGCGACGGTTAGCCGGCGGGCTGAAGAACGGCAAGGCAAGGGAAAAAAGCCCTGCCCGCCTTTCCTTCCATACAAACAATCGGAGATCTCGAAGCCGAGAGTCCCGGTGAGAAGGTTCGCCTCTCCGGAGAAGATCCGTAGAGCCGGAGTCGTTGTGGGGAGCGGGGGGGGGGAGAGGAGCCAAGGGCGGCACCCCCGATTTTCTGCCCGGGATCCCCTCCTTGGGCTAGGCTGGCTGGGAACCAGATCAGGGAAAGAGGACACCCCCTCCCCCCAAATTTAGGGGATTTCATGGCAGAACGCAGAACCCGAAGGGATGGGGGTCCTCGGAAGTACTTCCAAGAGGGAAGAAGAGTTGGCCTCCTTGTGCAAGAAGGAGGTTTGGAAGCCCCCCCCCCCATAAGCCCCTCCGCCTCTATTGTTTGCGGTGGGTGTCGGAGCCTTGTTGTGTTCTGGTTTTTGTGATGATTCAGAGGTTGTAAGCAAACTGGAAGGACGGAGGTGGCGGGCCAGATCCAGGCCTATTCTGGAAGGAAGCGAGAATAGAAACATTCACACCACTTTGGGCTTTAGAAAAAAGAAAAGAGAAAAAAAGATTGCTGCGCTGTGTGCGGATACTTGCACAACGGGTTGGGTTGGCCAACGCCAACTGTGTGTGTTTCCACTGGTGAGACCAATGGAGCGGCTGCAGGTTAGGGTGCCCTCTGCAAAATACATGGGCCATCAAGGAGAGAGAACACTAGGTAGGTTTCAAGTGGGTGAGTTTAACACACACACACACACACACACAGGTTGAAAGGGAAAGTGAACAAGCTGAAATAAATTGAATAGTTTCTGTGAATGGTTCCTCCACTCTTTTCTTTCACAGTACAGAGAGTCCTCAACTTACCAATGACGGTGGAGTCCAAAATTTCTGTTGTTAAGTGAGACATTTGTTAACTGAGTTTTGCCCTGTTTTATGGCCTTTCCTGCTATAGTTGTTAAATGAATCACTGCAAGGGATAACAGTAATCCGGTTGTTAAGTGAATCTGGTTTCCACATTGACTTTGCTTGTCAGAAGGTGGCAAAAAGTGGTCACATGAACCCAGGACACTGCAAATATCATAAATGTGAATCGGCTGCTAAGCATCTGAATTTGGATCACGTGACCATAGGGATGCTGCAATGGTTGTAGATTTGAAAAATGGTCCTAAGTCTACAGTGCCATTGTAACTTTGAACGGTCATTAAATGAACTGTTGTAAGTCGAGGACTACCTGTATTCAATTTATTGTATTTATTATTATTCCTGTAGGCAGAAGAATTTCTCCAAGCTTAATGGTGCTCAATCAGGACTTCGTGGTGGGTTTACGTCAAGCCCTTTACGCACAGGCAAAATATTCCTTCAGCTGCAGCACACAATGATGGGGGAAGCTGTTCCAACCCCTTCTCAAAAATGCTTCAACAGCAATTTGCCCCATCACCCCTTGCCAGAGAGCTGGTGGCCGCTGCCTGTTTCCCACTGCCAGCTCTGTAATCTTTGGATTCCAGATAGGACCCCTTCCCTTTGGGCATCTACCTGTCTCCATGATCCCTGTCACTCATTTGGTAAAAAGGATCTTTGCATTTTTTTTTAAAGTCACACGGGAATAGCCATTAGTATGGAATCAGGACTCCTGCCTTGGGCAGGGGATTGGACTAGAACAGTGATGGCAAACCTTTTAGAGACCGAGTGCCCAAACTGCAACCCAAAACCCACTTATTTATCGCAAAGTGCCAGGGCTGCATCAGCATTGTGGTGCCCTCGGGGTAGGTGTGTGTGTGGCCCACTGGGTTGTTGTGGCTGCAGTGGTCATGGCAGACTAGGTGAGCGTGGCTGGGGCCAGTCCTTTGCCATCTCTGGGGCATCCCCGGGAGGGCCAACACCGCTTGCTTGCTCACTTCCTGCCCTGTCGCTTACAAATGCCACGTGTTTGCTACTCTGGCGAATTCTGCCTGGGCAACGGCGTGTGTGCCCACAGAGAGGGCTCTGAGTGCCACCTCTGGCACGCGTGCCATAGATTCACCACCACTGGACTAGAAGACTTCCAAGGTCCTTTCCAGCCTTATAATTCTACATTCATTCATATTTTCAAGGCTACTTGGGCCACACTGATGTTTAGAATAATAATCCTGATAGAAGTCAGTGTTTTCTTGAGGTGCTCATCCACCCAAGTTGGGGTGGGGGGTGAACAAGGGTGGTATGCTGCTGATTATCTGGACCATCAAAAGCAACTTCACCAGAAGGGAAGTAAGCCACGATTCCCATGGCAACCATGAGACTGTAGAATTAAAGTATAGCTAGGCTGGAAATTTTAAGTTTTAGGCTGCTGGAGAGAAGCACAAGAGGATGGAGTGGGGTAAAGCCTGTCCACATTTAGCTCTCTGTCCAGTCAGTATTCATGCTGCTTCTTGCTGAAAGATCCTTGTGAGGTCCAGCAGCCAATATGTATAGACCAGGAGGGGGGAACCATGGCCCTTTTATGACTTGTGGACTTCAACTCCCAGAATTCCTGAGCCAACCACAAATTGAAGTCCACAAGTCATAAAAGAGCCATGGTTCCCCACCCCTGGTGGCTCAGGAGCTGATGGCTGGCTCAGGAATTCTGGGAGCTGAAGTCCACAAGTCATAAAAGGGTCATGGTTCCCCACCCTTGCTGTAGACTATTTAGTTGTGACACATTGCCAAGGATGCACCACAAGGAAGCTAGTCTCTATGGCACTGTGACTGTGAGAATGTCCCACAAACTACATCATATTGCGATGGGATGCCCCCTCAGAAGGTTCCCTAGATCCCTACAAGGACTACATAATCTTGAGGGCACTGCTGTCCAATGGCTAAACAATCTACATACCCGGGCATAGGCTTAACCACTTACTAATTGCTTGTACATAATCTAATTTTATTCATAATTTTAATTCATCATTTGTATTGTGCGTTTTTAAAATAATTCACTGTTCTGGTGTAGTGTACAGGTAGACGTTGACTTATGGCCACAAGTGAGCTCCAACTTTCCTATGTGAGAAATTTTGCCCCATTTTACGACCTTTTTGCCACAGTTGTTAAGTGAATCACTGTTGTTAAACAAATCTAGTTTTCCCATTGTCTTTGCTTGTCAGAACATTAGAAATGGTGATCATAGACTCTGGGACATGACAAACATCATGAATACGACTCAGTTGCCAAGCATTTAAACTTGAATCACGTGACCAAGGGGCTGCTACAGCAGTTGAAAGTCTGGCAAATGGTCATAAGTCACTTTTTTTGTTGTAACCTTGAACGGTCACTAAATGAACTGTTGTAAGTCGAGGACTAACTGTATGCTGATACGCATTTTATACACGCTGTTTTTGTGAATTGTATGCATTATGCATTAATTCTGTTACGTCATATGAAATAAATGAATAAAAATTGGTTCAGTCACTCTGTCTTTAGCTGCTAGAAAGCTTTCCCATAAATTAGGGGGAAGTTGTGTTTCCTGGACGTATTGTAACCTTGTTGTGCTATTTATCAACAAAGTGTGTGCCATTTTGTTTTTCAGACCAAGCAATTGTCACTGTGATACATGATGCTCATGCTTTCGTCCCGAGGACTGATGGAGCCTTGGAGGAGACTTAAATGAAGCATATGCACATAGAAAGTTCTAGAGCTCTGGCAGAATATCTGAACTCATGATAGGTACTCTTGTTTAATTTGAGGGGAGGGTTTAAGGTAGTCCTGAATTTACAACGGGTCACTTAACAACCATTTGAAGTTACAACAAATTTTACTTAGGACTGTTGTCAAAATTACAACAGCCCACACACACTTCTGTGGTCACATGACTGCATTTTGGCGCTTGACAAATTGAGCTCAATTTACATATGTTTGCAGCATCCTGCAACCATGATTTGTGGTGTTTTTCGCCAGCTTCCGGTCTTTACAGTACTTCCAGTTTCTGGCAAAATTTCCCATTGAGGAAAATTGATTTGCCTAATGACCATGGTATTTGCTTAATGACCACGGTGCTTGTTTAATGACCAAAATGCTGAAAAATTGGGTCTGGTCACCCAAAGCCTCAACTTATAACCAGGCTTAATTACAGTGGTAGGTTGTGTGCTGTGTTGGATAAAATCGGCAAAAATTGTTTTCATCCTACAGCAGGGGTCTTCAAACTTGGCCCTTTTATGACTTGTGGACTTCAACTCCCAGAATTCCTCAGCCAGCGTGCCAGCCAAGTCCACAAGTCATAAAAGGGCCAAGTTTGAAGACCCCTGTTCTACAGCCTTTCTTTCCTCATCTCTTCTTGCTCTTCATTTGTTTCTGCAAAAAACAACTGAATAGAAGTCACTATTGGCCAACAGTGAGAAGGCTGCTTATTATATTTTTTAAAAATCACCTAGCATAATTTTCCTGAGTGTGTAGGTAGTATTGACTCAAGGTTATGATGGATCCTACTCTCTGCCCCAATATTGAACATAGGTGACATTGGTCACATGCATGTTTATGTGCATCAGCATAAAAACATCAACCCAGAAGCTGTTTTTCATGCATAGGGCCGAAGCGTGACATTCACACTTTTTAAGGAGTGCGCCTGCGGTAACATCGCCTCACAGAACTCTTTTATTACCTCAGCGGCAGTAGCCCAGTAGGGCAGGAAAACAATACCTAAGGCCGTCTGCTGCCTGAGATGCACTAAGTAATTTACAGACAGTCCTCAACTTACAACAGTTCAATTAGTGACGGTTCCAAGTTACAACAGCACTGAAAAAAGTGGCTTATGACCATTGCAGCCTTTCCCCACGGTCCCATGACCAGAATTCAGATGCTTGGCAAATGACTCATATTTATGACGGTTGCAGTGTCCTGGGGTCATGTGATCACCTTTTGCGATTTTCTGACAAGCAAAGTCAGTGGGGAAGCCAGATAACAGCCATGTCACTAACTTAGCAACTGCGATGATTCCCTTTAAAAACGTGGCAAGAAAAGTTGTAAAAGGGGGCAAAGCTCACTTAACAAATGTCTTGGTTAGCAACAGAAATTTTGGGCTCAATTGTGGTCATAAGCCGAGAGCTACCTGTGTTATACATATTATTAACGTTTTTATGGTTAGTATGTGATTGGGCAACTCAGTATTTTTCATAACCACATTTGTATGAGAGTACTGTAGAGCTAAAACCTATTTTAAACTCATTTGGAAACTGAACTTGTGGAGATCCTGGGAAAGGAAAGGGATTTACGAACAATTTCTCTCATTGATACTAGAAAGACTTTTAAAAGACAGTCTCTCATTTTCTTCAGCTAAAGGTCTCCCTTTTCTGCATCGTCAGCTTAGAACAGGGGTGTCAAACTCAATTTCATTGAGGTCCGCATCAGCATTGCGGTTGCCCTTGGGGGGCCGGGTGGGTGTGGCCAGGGGGGTGCGGCCTACTGGGTGAGTGTGGATGGAGTGGGTGTGGCCTACTGGGTGGGCATGGCCAGCTCTATATCGTTCGCGTCAAGGGTGCCTGTGGGGGCCTGGGCAGGAGTGGGGCAGATCTGAGGGTCTCTGGCAGAAGGGGGTGGGACCGGGGCAAGCGCCAAGGCATGGTCCATTTCTTCATTCCGCACAAAAGGTGACACCTCCCCAGCATGCACCCAGGGGGCGGGGCCAACGCAGCAGGGGCTGGTTCCTCGCTGTTTGTAGACGGCCTTGTGAAGCTAAGACTGAATGCGTTTCAACATAGATGGCCACCACAAAATTGTACATTGGCTCCCGGCTGGCCTGGGCCAGGGCCAAGGCAGTGGGGGCTGTTCCCTCACTGTTTCCAGGATGGCTTCGCGGGCCACATGAAACCACTTCGCGGGCCGCCTCCGGCCCCCGGACCTTGTGTTTGACGTGTCTGGCTTAGAAGAACTATAGGGAATCTATCCATCTATCGTTCAGAAATGAGTGCCTGGAGGGAAAATAGGTTTAGGTGTGAGGGGTCCTTGCTGCTCTCTGAGCTTGGTTGTTTTCTTGCAGACGTTTCATTACCCAGCTATGTAACATCAGCAGTGCTAGCGTTAGGTCTATGCTTCAGAAAAAGCAAAAGAGTCTTATGGCCCTTTAAAAATCAATAAATACAAAGTGATACAGGTATATCCTCGTTTAATGATCACAAAAGGAACTGGCAACTTTGTTGTTAAGTGAAGCAGTGGCTAAGTGAAATCACAATTGTGCTTACCATCTTACTTCACCTTTCTTTTTCTTTACAGAACTGCAAAGATCATAATATGAGGATTGGTCACAAAATTACTTTTGTCGTCACTATTGTAAGTGGCTAAATAAGGTGTTGGTAAACAAGGACTACTGTATATGTTTTCATTGATTTCAGCCACTTCTTCAGGGGCAAGCGCTGTAGAATTCAGGTAAATGTGTGCAGAATTCAGCCTAATAGCCGCAAACCTTGTTAATTGACTTAGAAAAATGGCTCCATTATGATCAGTAAGATTTCTGTTAAGTAAATAGAAACATGTTTTACACGTAAATACTCTTCATCTGATTCCACTGCCTGATTTCCTTCCTTAGGATTGCTTTAAATCTCCTGATTTCATAGCTTCCTCTTTCATGTATTCCTTTTTACCTCAGAAGAAATGCAAAATAACAAGTGAAGAGAGTTGTCAACTTACAGCAGTTTATTTGATAACTGTTCGAAGTTAACAATGGCACTGAAAAAAAGTTGACTTATTTTCACACTTAGGACCGTTGCGGCATCCCCACGGTCACGTGATCAAAATTCAGGTGCTTGGCAACTGACTCATATTTATGACGGTTGCAGTGTCCTGGGGTCATGTGATCCCCTTTTGCGACATTCTGACAAGAAAAATCAATGGGGAGGCCAGATTCATTTTCACAACCGTGTTACTAATTTAATTCGCTTAGCAACTGTGGCAAGAAAAGTTGTAAAATAAGGCAAAACTCACTTAACAAATGTCTCACTTAGCAAGAAAAATGTGGGGCTCAATTGTGGTCGTAAGTTGAGGACTACCTGAAGAGCATCCAGGAAAAGGATTAACAGCGGACTAGTTCAAAGGTTTCCGCTCCAGTACCGGTTTTAATACAAGTAGTTAATTACTGTAATTGGGACCGGCAACTCGATGCCACCATAAAGCAAAACATCACATGACCGTATCAACATATGACAGCCGTTCTGACAGTGGCCTTTAAATGAATCACTCATGGGCATTAAGCACAATGTCACTCGACTGTGACTTGCGACTTCTTGCTAGCTTCCCCATTGAATTTGCTTGTCTGAAGCTGGTTGTGAAGATTGCAAATAACAATCACATGGTTGCAGCCATGGGAAAAAAGGTAAAATATGGCATGACTCAATGGCTGCATCACTTACTGACCAAAGTTCCGTTCCCAATTGAGGATGTAAGTTGAGGACTACTTTTAACCTGATCTCTTGAAAAATAGAGATAGAAGGATTGAGTACAGGACTTTTGAGTTGTTTGCATATATGCACGCGTGCCAGAAGCCAATGACAGAATCTCAATCTTGAGTAGACTCTTAATAAAAGCAAGGTTTCTGAACTCAGTCTTAGAATCACATTAGTTAGGCTAGTTAAGATTCAGGCTTCCTTAAAGATGCGCAGTGTTAAGTTCTTTGTATTCCCAGAGTAAGTGCTTTATGCTGCAACACCTGCTTTAGGTTGGGAAGATTTCTGTCTATACGTGAGGAACAATACAGATAATCCTCGACTCACGACCACGATTGAGCCCAAAATTTATGTTATGTGAGTTTTGCCCCATTTTACAACTTTTCTTGGCGCATTTACTAGGTGAATCATTGCCGTTGTTAAATTAGTAACACAATTGTTAAACGCACCTGGTTTTCCCATGTCAGAAGGTTGCAAAAGGGGATCACATGACTCTGGGACACTGCAAATCGTTATACGTGCGAGTCAGTTGTCAAACATCTGAATGTCGATCACAGGACCACGGGGATGCTGCAAAAGTCGTGAGAGTGAAAAATGGTCATAAGTTGCTTTTTTCAGTGCTGTTGTAACTTTGAACGGTCACTAAACGAACTGTTGTAAGTCGAGGACTACCTGTAAAGGAAACTACTTAGAAGAAGCTCAACATGTCTTTCTTGGTTTTTGGAGCTTGTATGAGATTAATTCAAATGCATATGGCCTCATACAATGAAAACAACGTTTTAAAAAAAAATCTCATTTTTTCCCCCTTCCCTTTTCTTTTTTTAAATCCAGGGTGCATGGATAGTTCTTAAGAAGTTGCTGCTCCTTGCCTTTTCCTTTGGACTACAAGTTGGTGTCTTACTGAATTGCACTATGGCGATGCTGCTGAGGGCCGAAATTGGGAGAAGCCATCCTGCAGGGCTGTAGTGCCCAAAGCCCACGACCAGATAAGCCTCTGGAAAGCTTGAAGGGTTGAAACTTGAACTGGTGTGACTTGTTGCCTTTTCATCGGAGGGAAATGGCCAGCAAACGAAAATCCACCGTGCCTTGCATGGTCCCAGCGAGAGAGCCGGATATGGATCTAGAAGCCGTATCCGATGCGGAGGAGGTGTTACCAGTGATGACCTCTGCGGGAAGCGTGTCAAGCGACGAGGACTCTCGAGAATGTGTGGATTCAGACAGCCAGGCAAATAAAAAAGTTGAAGGCGGCTACGAATGCAAATATTGTACCTTCCAGACTCCTGATTTAAATATGTTTACCTTCCACGTGGATTCTGAGCACCCCACCGTCGTCCTGAGCTCCTCTTATGTCTGCCTCGAATGCAAATTTGTTACTAAAAGGTATGATGCTCTTTCGGAACATAATACCAAATACCATCCAGGAGAGGAGAACTTTAAACTGAACATGGTGAAGCGCAACAACCAAACCATCTTCGAGCAAACGGTGAACGATCTTACTTTTGATGGGAGTTTTGTCCAAGAGGAGAAAACGGGAGAAGAATCAGAGGGCTCAGAAAGCCACTTGACCGGCATCTCCATCAGCAAAACCCCCATTATGAAAAGGATGAAGAATAAGAACGAAACAAAGCGAATTGTGGTTTTTCACAACGCAGCCGAGGATGATCCTACGGAAGAAAAAGATGGCGACACCGATGTGGAGTGTGAGGAAATAGTAGAAAAAGGAGCCACTACAAGTTCAGACACCAACACAGATAATTCCTTAGCTGGGGAAGTGACCACCAATGTTGTGACCCCCACCACAGTGATTCAGCCTGCCCAGGTGATCGCCACCCTCGCGTCTCCACCGACGTCTAATTTAATTTCTAAAGTCTTGATCCCTATTAACAGCATCCCAGCCTATAACACCGCTTTGGATAACAATCCTCTCTTGCAGAACACTTACAATAAATTCCCATATCCAACCGTATCGGAAATCGCGCTCCTGGCTACTCAAGCTAAATATACCGAGGAACAGATCAAAATCTGGTTCTCTGCCCAACGGTTGAAACACGGGGTGAGCTGGACCCCAGAAGAAGTAGAGGAGGCAAGAAGGAAGCAGTTTAACGGCACAGTGCACACCGTTCCTCAGACAATTACTGTGATTCCAGCACATATTTCGGCGGCTAACAACAGTCTACCTTCCATTTTGCAGACTTGCCAAATCGTCGGCCAACCAGGCCTCGTCCTTACGCAAGTCACAGGAACCGGCACACTTCCCGTGACCACCCCCATCGCGTTGGCGATGGCAGGAATTCCAAACCCAGCCCAACTGCAGAAGGCCCAGGGCCAAGCTACGCAGCCTGTTTCCGAAACTAAGCAAGTAGCGGCTGTTCCCGCGCCCCAGCTTACGAAATCGGAGGTGGTGGCAGCTGCCGCTACCACCAACATTGATATAGTTGCCGTCCGGGCGAAGAAGACGAAGGAGCAGCTAATGGAATTAAAAATCAGCTATCTCAAAAGTCACTTTCCTCTTGATTCGGAGATAATCCGGCTGATGGAAACCACAGGATTGACGAAAGGGGAGATTAAAAAATGGTTCAGCGATACCAGGTACAATCAGAGGAATTCAAAGCACAATTATCACAATCATCAAAACAGTGATTCCTGCACTATCGTTATCGACTCCAGCGACGAAACGAGTGAATCTCCCGCGCTGGTCCAGCCACACCAGAAGCAGCCTTCTGCAGCCTCGGATTTGAGCTCTCAGAAGTTCAAAGACAAGAGCGCAGAGCAACTTAAAGTCCTCCAGGACAGTCTCCACAACCACCCAGTCCTTTCTGAGGATGAACTAAGCAGGGTATGTTCAGAAACAAAGCTGACCAGGGAAGAGATAGAGGCTTGGTTTGCAGAACAGAAAAAATTGAGTGGTTCTGGGGAAGAAGGTGAGGAAATGAATGCAGGTCATGCCGAGAGTCAGAAGGAAATTGCTGCAGCGGAAACCTCTGGAGGTGAAGGCTCTGGAGCCCAGAAGACAGGGAAACAGACCAAAAAATCCCCGGAGCAATTGCACATGCTCAAAATGTCATTTATCCGAACTCAGTGGCCTTCCTCCGAGGAGTATGACAAGTTGGCCAAAGAAACGGCACTTCCTCGAACGGAGATCGTGAGTTGGTTTGGGGACACCCGCTACGCCTGGAAAAACGGTGGCTTGAAATGGTACTACTACTATCAAGGGAACAATGCCAACAGTGTGAATGGTCAGGGCCATTCCAGGCGAAGGGGGAGGGGAAGGCCCAAGGGGAGGGGTCGGGGTCGGTCACGTGGGAGGCTGACATCCAACAAAAGGATCAAACTCTGGGACCAAACCCCGGTCATCAAGTTTAAAACTGGAAAAGCAATCCTCAAGGATTATTACCTGAAACACAAGTTTCTTAATGAGCAGGATCTTGACGAACTGGTTGCAAAATCACACATGGGCTACGAACAGGTCAGGGAATGGTTTGGAGACAAGCAGAGGCGAGCCGAACTTGGCCTTGAGTTGTTTGATGAAGAAGACGAAGAAGAGATGCTAGATGAGCAGGAGGAGGAAGAGGAGGAGGAAGAGGAGGAAGAAACAGATGACAGTGACAACTGGGAGCCCCCACGGCACGTTAGGCGTAGGTTGTCAAAATCGGACTGACTTGGACATCCTTGGGCTTGTCGGGACCCAACCTTGCCACGTGATTGGCCTCGCCAAACGATTGGTGACCTACTTCTAGCAAACTGTCTACTTTGAGTTTGCTCCGCGTTGAAGGCGGAATTGACTCTTGCATCCAATGCAAACTTGTTCCTTGTGTGGAGCAGAAATGGAAAAACCAAATCTGGAACTTGGATCTCCCAAGTGTCCAGAAAGTTAGCCATTATCCATATCTGCTGATAGGGGCACTTTGAAGGGTCTATGTGCTCAATTGCCTTATGTTTGCTTCCAAAAATCCTGTCAGGAAAGAGGTTCATTTTTAAGAAAGTGACAACCCCTCTGGGTTGAAAGAACTGTCACTAAATGAAAAACAAAAAAGTGCTCATGGTGTCCCTATTGCTAAACTGCATGTCGGTTTTCTTCCCTTCAAACACAAGAAAGCCTTCGTAAGAAACTTCAGGTACCTGAAAAGATGTCCCACAGAAGAGAATCGAGATTTGTTGGCTATCTTCCCAGCATGCAAGATATTAAATCATGGATTTCAGTTACAGGAAGACAGATTCTGGTAGAAGGTTGAGGGAGATAAAAGATAAGAGCAGTTCATCATTTCTCCAGAGAAGTGATGGGCATGTTGAGACTTGAGACTAAACCGCCATTGGTTGGACATGCACTGATTTGGATTCCTACCCTGAGGAGGTGGCTGGCCACAGTGACCCTTTGGCTCTCTGCGTCTAGAAAAATAAAATGATTTGGGGAGAAAGGCTACCAAAAGTGGGAAACCAGGGAAGGGTGGCAGTCGCTAGAAGTTTTTGAGGTTTTTTTTTTAAGGAAATTAGAGAAAAGGACTATCTTTGTTACATAGCCTGTGTACTAGGTTTACAGAACTCCTGCTGAATGTGTCTCTCTAGCTGTGTTCAGGGAATTGGGGTCTGAAGTATGTTTTTATATTAAAACTAATCCGTGTATATCATATTTAAACACTAGAATCAATTAATGCAGCCAATACCAAAAACTTAGCTTTGTTTGTGCAATTCTTTTTTTCCCCTTCTATCAAAGAGGAAAACCCACTTCTCCTAAAATTCTGCAGGACAGTTTCTTTAATGAAAAGTTCATGGCTGAGAGGTCACTCAAGGGACCTTCTGGAAAGGGGAGACTCATGACATATTTTTTGTCTTCAGAGGGCCTTTAATTGTCTTCTCCCACCCCCTTGTATCAAGACTCTTTGGACCAGTGTTTCTCAGCCTTGGCAGTTTCAAAATGTCTGGACTTCAGCCCAGAATGTTGAAGTCTCAATGTGTAAACTTCAATTCCCACAATTCATGGCTGGCAGGGGAATTCTGGGAGTTGACATCCATATATCTTCAAGTTGCCAAGGCTGAGAAACACTGTTTTGGGCAGTAGAACTTGGTTGTGGTGTCCCTCCTAAGAGAAGATGAATGTCCACCTGATGGAGGTAGTGATACTACCCAAGCAGAAAACAACCCATGAATCACAAGTTCCTACCAAGCCATTTCCAGATGAGTATCTTTGTTTCCTGGTCCAAATGTACCTGCCAGCTGAGATTTCTTAACATTTCCGCCTTCCACAAGAAGATTGGAAGGTGCTAAACGCAACATTGGGATTGAAACAAGTTTAGCAGGTTGACAGCTAATCTTGGTAGGTTAGTCTCTCTTAACAGTAAGGCACCTGCCTAGCTGGCCTTTGGTTCCATAATGCTTTCTCCCCCCCCCCTCAAATGAGTAGAATCTTACATACGGATGCAAAGACTCACAAGATTCTGCCATTTTTGCAATCTCGTGCAAGGTCTCGCCCTAAAATATCTGGGCTTAGTGGGACCTGTAGGAGGGAGAAGGAAAGTAGGGACAGATAGACAGAAGCAGAGTAGAAGTACTGTAATGCACATCTTGTTCCTTTTTTGTGTGCATCACAACTTATAAAAGGAAAAGGTGTAATAATGCTGCTTTTGTCATGGTTACAACAGCAAGAACTAGCAAATGTTGCTGCCTAAATTACAATGTGGGGTGTGGCCATAACTGGATGTAATTTAAGACTCAATAAGCAACTCAGCTGGCTTTACTAAGTCTGGACTTGCAGATTTGTGGATGGTCAAACTGAAAACAGCAAAGCAAAGGGAAATGGGTCCTTTCAGTTAATGCCAAAAGATTGTAATACACATAAGTCCTTGATTTGCAACCATTGGCTTAACAACCATTCAAAGTTACAGCACTGTCGTGGCATCCCCAGGGTCATGTGATCAAAATTTGTCAACCAGTATGTATGTATGATAGTTGCAGAGACCCTAAGTCACATGATCACCATCTACATCCTTCCCAGCTGCTTCCAACAAGCAAAGTCAATGCCTGGGGGGGGGGCTGGATTTGCTTAATGACCATGTGTTTTTGTTAACAACTGCAGTGATCTCTCCATAATTGTGGCCCCAAAAAACCCCCTCACTTAAAGTCATTAACCACCTTGCTTAGCCACAGAAATTCTGGTCCCTATTGTAATAAGTTGAGAACTACCTTAATGACCACAACTGAACCCACCATATCTGTTGCTAAGAGACATTTGTTAAGTGAGTTTTCCTCCATTTTACCACCTTTCTTGTCAAAGTTGCTTAGTGAATCACTGCGGTTGTTAAGTTAGTAACGAGGCTGTTAAGAAAATATGGCTTCCCCATTGACTTTCCTTGTCAGAAGATTGAAAGGGGATCATAATGAACCCGGGACACTGCAACCATCATAAATATGAGTTAGTTGCCAAGCATATGAATTTTTGATCACGTGACCATAGGGATGCTGCAACTAACATAAATGTGAAAAATGATCATAAGTCACATTTTTCAGTGCCGTTGTAACTTTGAACAGTCACTAAATGAACTGTTGTAAGTCGAGGACTGCCTCTCATTGACATAGTTGTAACTAAAGGTTGCAATTCAGAGTTTTGACGTGTCATGCCTCCAAGCTGTGCAGTGTGGAGATTTCATGAATTGGTCCAGGAGCACACACTGAGCAGAGATGTTCTGTCAGCCGTGCAGTCTTGAAACCTGAGATTTACAGCACAGATTGACCCATCGAGAAGTAAAAAAGCATTAGCAGATTCTTCATAGGAGTTTTTTTGACAGAGATCCAGTGCGGGGAAACGTAAAATACAGTAATGACATTTCCTGATATTCAGGCTTTAGCGTATTGCTAAATCTTTCCTGTATTTCATGCAATTCATCATTGCTTAATTCACCTTCCTTTCCATTTACTAGTTCATGTGAATTAATTTCTGCAACTACCTAACTGAACAGGCCTTTACTGAAGTAATGAAATTAATTTTTTTTATGCAATATAGTTGCTCATACTCCCTTTTAGAGTTGTTTTAGAGCAGGGGTGTCAAACTGCCGGCCCGTGGGCTGGGCGCATCACGAGGAAACTGCGCCCATCCCATTGCCAGCAATGGGGAAAAAGCTCCGATACGTCGCGCGACGTCACATGACGTCATGAGTTTGACATGTCTGTTTTAGAGTGAAGCTCCCCCCCCCAGTGTCTTTTAATCTAATTGGGAAGATTTATTTTAGGGGATTCAATGTAAATGTTCGGAGCTGTGTTTCTTCAAATTTTAGAAGGGTCAATTTCAAAATACAGGTAGGCCTCAACGTATGACTATCACTTGGTGATTTTTTGAAGTTACAAGAGACCTTGGAAAGGCTTATGACCCAGATTTGAAATTACAATGGCTGCTCCCTAGTCAATGTGAGTGCATTTTGGGTGCTTGGCAAATGGCCCGCATTCATAGCTATTTGCAGCGTCCTGTAGTCATAGAACCAGGATTGACAACATTTTTTTTTTTACCAGAAACAAATATTTATTTTCAGTTTCTGGTAGAAATGCCCAATAGCAAACCATGGGTTTGCGTAATGACCATGGCATTCACTTAAAGACTGTAGCGTTCACTTTACCACCGCTGCATTTGCTTTATGACCACTGCAAAAAAAGTAAAATCTTTTGCAGTCACATGGTGATATTTTTTTTTCCAATCAAGGGTCATATTCCCTTGCAGAGTAATCTTTATGGGCTTAAGCATTAAGTAGGCAAACAATGGTTAGAGTAATCTATTTAGTAATGGTTCATTTTTATTCCCAAGCTTCAGGCAACTCATTTCTTGCAAAAATAAAGGTGGGGTAAAATTTTATTTATTCAATTTCTATAGCCACCCAACTCAACCAAGTCACTCTAAATAATACTGATTATGTGCTGTCCTGTTATTTTTTACTTATTGATCACATAGATAGATGATCTGTCCCTCACTTAGTTTTTCTAAGTTTCCCAACTGCACTCGTGGCCACTGAGATGGACACCATCTTCCTTACTGCTGGTCGTCGTCATCTTTCCTTCCACCTTTCCCAGCCTTTTTCACAGATTTATTCTTTGCATAATATGTAGGATATAATTTCAGTGTGGTCATTTGTGCCTGTGGGTTGATTCATCCAGTGATCTATTGAATGATAAATAATCACATTGTTATGTATAATAATAATACTTTGGTTCCACAATAACTGAACTGGAAGGCCAAAAGCATTCTATATCTATAACTTTGAAAAAGCATACATTTTAAAAATTTATACTTATTAAGCATTTTACGTGAAATAAATGAATCTAAAGCAAGGGGGGAAAAAAACCCCAAGCAATAAAGAAAAAGAAATTAAAGTTATGAAATACAATCACTTCCAACCCTCACTACAACAAATAATTACAATCTTATAATTATAATTTTATAATCTTATAATTACAATCTTATAATCTTCCCTGGATTACTTTAATTATACTTCAACTCTCAGAATAGGCTGAGGAATTCTGGGAGTTGAAGTCCACCTATCTTAAAAGTTGTCAAGATTGGGAAACACTGCTTTAGGGCTCCAAATCAGCAGTGATTTCATATGAATACAGGTAGTTCTCGATTTACGCCCACAACTGAATCATTTGTTAAGATTTTTTTGCTCCATAATATGAATTGGAGTGAATTGCTGCATAATTAGTAACATGGTTCAATGAATTTGGTTTTCCCATTGACTTCGCTTGTCAAAAGGTCACAAAAGGTGATCACATGACCACAGGAGACAACAACAGTCATAAATGTGAGTCATTTCCCAAGCACCAGAATTTTGATCACACTACCATGGGGATTTGCAATAGTCATAAGTGTGAAAAATGGCCATAAGTCACTTTTTTCAACGCTGATGCAACTTTGAACAGGTCACTAAATGAATTGTTGTAAGTTGAGGACTACCTGTACTGATTAAGAGAAAGCAGGAACTATAGGATGGGAGTTTTAGTTAGCTTGTGTGAACTTGGCTAAAAAAAATGCTGACTGGGGGATTCGGGAAGTTGGAAGCCCACATCACCTCAGTTTCCCAGGTCAAAAGCATTGAATTAAGTTGTAGCACAGTTTGCTGTGTAAACCGGCTCAACTGAGTCAATTGAAATGCATAGAAGTGAACTACAAGTTAGCAGGTTGCATGAGTTTGTGATCTCCTCAATGCTACGGGCTCAGCCATATGGGAAAGGCAGCCCAGCCGCATCTGAAGACCGTCGCTTCCCAAAGCGTTGATCTACATATGAATCGCTGTCTCTTCCTCGCCGAGAAAGGACTTCTAAAGCGAACTCGAAAACTCGAAGCAGCGGATGAGTCCCCACCGAGCAGAGTGGTACTCATAGGTCTAGGACAGGGGTAGGCAACCTCGGCTCTTTTATGACTCATGGACTTCAACTCCCAGAATTCCTGAGTCAGCATAGCTGAGTCAGGAATTCTGGGAGTTGAAGTCCATGAGTCATAAAAGAGCCGAGGTTGCCTACCCCTGGTCTAGGACAACATCGTTCGGCTTGAGACCATCTAGCCGGGATCGTCGGCGTCGTCTATGATCCCGGGAAGCCGCTCTAGCAGCGAAGCCTCCGGGATTGTCGCTCACCGGCGCGGAGGATGGCGCTGCTGCCGTTTGTGTTCGAGGACTCGGTCTTCGAAGAGGGAGGCGGGGCGTCCAGGGCCGGCAGCCCCCTTGCTTCCCACTATAGCGCCCGGTGCTGCGAGCCCGAGGTAAAGAGGGCAGGTTCACGGACATTCGTGCCTCCAGACCCACGTGTTGGGGCTGGGGTGTGCGACTGGGTTGGAGGAAGGACATTGCACTCTGCACACGCTCTGGGGCAAGCTGTTCTTCAGCTAGCCCGCAGGAATTAAGGGCAGATGTGGCTGGATTTAATTTAATGTGGAGTGGTGGGGCATTGCCCCGCTTAGATGACCATCCCAATCCTTGCAGACCTGAACAGGCTGAGATTCGGGGCTGTTATTGATGATCAGGCTGAAATCAAAGCAGGTTGCTGGAGGTCAGTGTGGAAAGGAGACCACCAGGAGAGCCGGAGAAGCTCTCAATCCCAGCCATATAAAAGCGAGAGTTCCAGTGGTGTTCTTCAGGGTGCCTTTTCTCTTACTATTAAATGGTTGGTTGCACAGTCAGCCAAATACTTAGACCTGGAATAGGTAGATGCTGTTTGATGATATTAAAAGTGTCCTTTGCAGGATGGAAGCTGTTCCTAGTAAGGCCGCCTTTTGCAATTGATTGGTGGGGATTTTTTCAATGCTGATGGTGTTCAAGTGGTGCTCCAGTTGTTTTGGGATTGCATCCATGGCACTTATTGCTATTGGCACTATCTTTGCTTTCTTTTGTCACAGTTCTTCTACTTCTGTCTGCAGGTCCTTGCATTTTGTTGCCTTCTCCAGTTCTTTCTCTTCTCTTCTGCTGCCTCTAGGTATCGCGATGTCCTCTAGCCAGAATTTTTTTAGCTTTCTTATCAACAGGTGTTAAGCATGGGATACTACATCATAATATTTTTTTTCTGTCATTTTTATATTTTGTGTGTATGTGTGTAAGTAAAAATAACTGAAGGCAGTGAACACACCTAACTGTCCTGCCTCCTGTTTTCCCCACTACAACAGGCCTCTGAGATGGGCTGGGATGAAAGTGACTGTCCAAAGTCACCCAACCAGCTTTTGTGCCTAAGGGAAGACTAGAACACACAAATTGGCTTTCGATGTCAAATCTGTGATCTCCTGGTGGTGTCCTCTCTGGGCTATAACCTCCGACTGTCAATGGTGTCACTAGAACAGTGGTTCTCAACCTTTCTAATGCTGTGACCCCATAATACAGTTCCCCGTGTTGTGGTGACCCCCAGGGGTGTGGCCAAGTGGGTGTGGCCACCAATAAGAGGGAGTAGGACAGCTAGGGAAAAGGGAAAAAAATGGCGGACAGCATGATTTGGCGACCCCCGTGAAATGGTCGTTCGACCCCAAATGGGGTCCCGACCCACAGGTTGAGAACCACTGCACTAGAAGTTAAATTCCACTCAAAGCCTTTACCTTTCTTTATGGTGGAAGGAAGAAATGGGATGGAAGAGAAAACCTGTTAGGGCACTTCGGTTGTCTGGCCAAGTTGGAAGTTCCTGTATGGTCACTTCCTGAATTCAGGGAGGTTCCAACCAAATTCTTTGGGGGGGGGGGGTTTGTCATTGATCTGGAGGAAATTGTAGGAACTAATAATAAAGCATCCCTGAGTGTTTAAGAGAGACTATGTAAAATTTGGTTTAAACTTTACAGTGTATGATACTGGTATTCCTCTGTAGTAATGCAACAAAATGTCTCCCCCCTCTTCCTCTTGACAGTGGTTTTGTGAACAGGTAGATTGCCAGGATGATCTTGAAAGGATCAACATAAAAAAGTTCAGAGGAGATCTGGCCTATAAGCAACAAGAATTTCAGGTATTTTCATGCTTGCGCTGTATTGATTCACACACACACACACAAACACACACACACACACACACCTACCTACCTACCTACCTACCTACCTTCTGGAAAGGCCAGACACTATTTGGGAAGTAGATTAATAATCCAGTTCTAGGAAAAAAAGCCTTTTTGAGTTGGAGGGAACTTAAAAACCAAGAAAATATCCATGTGATGCTCATGTTTACTTTTAATCACATACAATGATGTGTGATGATGTTGAATAATTTGGCACAATTCACTACCCACTCAGACTTTTGGAGTTACATTAAAATTTGATAAAATCTAATTTCAGAAGGCTCTTCAGGAATATTCCAGTTGCCTTGCCCTTGTGCCTTCCAGTAATACTGCCATGAGAAGAGATTTGAAAGAGAGCCAGGCCCGCTGTTTAGCTCATCTGGGGAAACATGAGGAAGCCTTGAGAATTGCGGAAAACCTGGTTGGTATTTTTCCAAGTGACTTTTCTCTTTATAGATCAGCTTGGATCCTCAACGTATACATGTCAGTATATCTGGGGCTATTTTTTTCCATGCCTGTCATCTTCCATTCGATTCTTTTTTGAGTTTCTTTTTAACTTAAAAAAGGCTATCAGCAAAAAAGGCTATCTGCAAAAAAAGCAAAAGGGGAGCAAATAAATTTAAATAAATAAGAGAAACTAGCATGCTGTCAAGTAAGTGCTATCATTAAGCACTTACTTAATCTCTGTTTTCAGGAATGCTTCTGGGCCCACGTGTACACTGGAGACATTCTTGGAAAATAAAAAAAAATGTTAGAATGATATTACCTCAGTTTTTATATGGGAGTATGTCCCTCTGTCCAGAAAAAAATAAATAAAGTAAAGGTGAAAGTCGAGGGAGGGAGGTAAAACATTTTGAAATGGCAACATTTTGTGCTTGAAACACAAGCACAAAGTTTGAAAGAAAGGTTATTCTGGCCTCCAAAAGATTTTGGAATACTTTTGATATTCAGTCTGTTCTGAACTCTCAGAGTATTTCAAATTCACCAATTTCCCTTCTGATGAATGGACCTTTTGTGCCTGGCTAGAGCTATTAGGGCAGCCATTTCAGGAAGCATCCTTCAGTATCATTGCAGATATGTGCTTTATTCTTGAAAGCTGGTGCAATGTACAGGTAGTCCTCAGCTTACAACTGTTCATGTAGTGACCATTCAAAGTTACAACAACACTGAAAAAAATGACTTGTGACTCTTTTTCACACTTACAACCATTGCAGCAACTCCACAGCCATGTGATCAAAACTTGAAAGCTTGGCAACATGTATTTATGACCGTTGCAGTGTCCTGGGGTCATGTGATCACCTTTTGTGACCTGACAGACAAAGCCAATGGGCAAGACAGATTCACTTAACAACCGTGTTACTAACTTAACAACTGCAGCGATCCACTTAACAACTATGGCAAGAAAGGTCGTAAAATGGAGCAAAACTTATTTAACAACTGTCTTGCTTAGCAATAGAAATTTTGAACTCAGTTGCAGTCGTAAGTCCAGGACTACCTATAATGGGTAAATTGCACTGGAAAGACTAAAATTCTAGTCCAGCCTTAGGCATGGAAACCACTTGGGTCTCTTTTGGCCAGTCACTCTCACCTCCAATCCACCACACAGGGCTGTGGTTGCCAGGGAAAATGGGAGGACAGGGTGCTATGAATACCACTTTGCTCTCTTGGCAGAAAGGAAGGGTAATAAATAAATGTTGGGGATTCAGCATTCTTGTCTGTCAGCTTTCTGCTGTTTTTTTCTATTTTAACTTCTGCAAAATCAATCAGCCAGTCAATCCATTGCCACTGTATTGGGAGACCATCTAAACAGAAAGAAAAATGCACTGAATAGCATGCCGTACAATAAAATGTACCAGCTGGGTGGTTTCTAGAATGTATTGTGAATTAAATTTTTAGATTGCCATTTTAGTAGATTGTGGATTTGTTTTATTGGGGAAAGTATATTTTGTCATTTCCAGAGTTTAGGTGTAAGAAGACGTTGGCACTGTGTTTTTCAAGCTTTCAGATGTCTGGACTTCAACTCCCAGAATACCCCAGCAGCTAGGGAATTCTGGGAGTTGAAGTCAAACATCTTAGTTAACAAGGTTACGAAACACCACGTTAGAGCATTAACTCTTATTCACCCTTCACTCCTTTTTCTTTGTTTCTAGAGAAATGGGGCAACAAATACCGACCATGTAACAGCCGTACTTAATCTGCAGTATGCCATTTATCGCCTTCTGGAGGATATTGAGAGCATAATTGGATGCTTACAACAATTGATCTTGTTGCACCCATTTCATCCGCAGACTTGGAATTTGCTTGCTGAAGCTTACATGAGTTTGTTGCAATTTCCGCCTTCTTTGTCAGCAAGAGAAGCCAGTATGTCACAAAGTGATGGCTTAATTGCAGGCAGTTGCCTCCGGGTAGCATCAGAAGAGGTCAGCTTTGTGTGTCATCAGACACAGAGCCAGAGGAAGGATGATCTTTTGTTGTGTACTGTCCACCCAAATGACAGCTTTGGATCTTGTGTGGAATACCAAAGTGTGCAGAGACCTGTTTGTATGCTGGGAAATTCAGGGACACAACCCACAGTGAAGAGAGCTTCCTTAGGGGAGCGAAGATTGAACAATATTTGTATTTATGCATGTGCCTCCTTTGTTAGAGCCAGGTACGGTATTTTCTTTTCAATCAATCAGAATAGAGCTGGAAGGGATCTTCAAGGTCTTCTAGTCCAACCCCTTGCTCAAGCAGGAGACCTTATACCATTTCAGACAAGTGACTGTCCAATCTCTTCTTAAAAGCCTCCAGTGATGAAGAAACCACAACTGCTGATGGGAAGCTGTTCCACTGGTTAATTGTCCTCACTGTTAGGAAATTTCTCCTTAGTTCTAGTTGCTTCTCTCCTTGATTAGTTTCCATTCATTGCTTCTTGTCCTGGCTTTTTTTTTTTTAATTGAAAATTTTTTATAAATTTTTACAGAGAAACAAAAAAATAACAATACAACAACAGCATAAGCAAGAAACTAAACAAAACAAAACAAAACAACCCTTCCCCTACCCCCCCCCAGAATACCCACTCCCTCCCCCCCCCCCGGAGCTTCCCAGAGCAGAATATAGGCTTAGTTAAGAAAAATTAAAAAAGTTATATATATAAAAAAAGAAAGAATATAACACTAAGATATATATATATATATATATATATATATATATATATATATATATATATATATATATATATAAAAAAAGTTATGAAAAAGCTAAATGGTATTTTTTTATATCCAATTTAAATTGTATAAACTTTATCCATTTATCCCAAACAGCAAGAAATTTCTCTTGCGATTGTTCTTTTAAAAAAGCCGAAATCTTTGCCATTTCCGCCAAATAAGACACTTTAAGAAACCATTCCTGCAAAGTGGGCAAAGATTCCTTCTTCCAATATTGTGCTACTAACAGCCTTGCGGCTGTGATTTTGATGCTTTGAAAAATAAGTTGACCCCCTCTTCTTTGTGGCAGCCCCTCAAATACTGGAATATTGGTATTATGTCACCCCCAATCCTTCTTTTCTCTAGACTGGCCATTCCCAAATCCTGCAACTGTTCTTCATCTGTTTTTGCCTCTTTAATCATCATAGTTGCTCTTCTTTGCATTTTTTTCCAAAGTCTCAACATCTTTTTTGTAATGTGGTCAAAACTGGATGTGGTATTCCAGGTGTGGCCTGACTAAGGCTTTATAAAGTGGTAGTAATACTTCATGTGATTTTGATTTTATGTGTCTGTTTATACAACCAAGAATTGTATTAGTTTTTTTTGACTGCTGCCGCATCCAATCCTTATTTGCATTTAACGTACAGGTAGGTCTCAACTTACAACCATTCATTTAACAACCGTTCATAGTTGGAACAGTGGTGGAAAAAGTGACATATAACTGTCCCTGTGGTCATGTGATCAGACTTTGGGCACTTGGGAACAGGCATAAACAGGTAGTCCTCAACTTACAACAGTTCATTTAGTGACTGTTGAAAGTTTCAACTGCACTGAAAAAAGTGACTTATGACCATTTTTACATTTACGACCATTGTAGCATTCTCCACAGTAGCGTGATAAAAATACAGACGCTTGGCAACTGACTCATACTTACGACAGTTGCAGTGTCCCGGAGCCATGTGATCCCCTTTTGCAACTTTCTGACAAGCAAAGTCAATGGGGAGGCCAGGTTCACTTAACAACCATGTTATAACATAACAACTGCAGCGATTCACTTAACTCTGCCTTTAACTGTTCATTTTTCTCTTTTGTTTCTAGGCTTTTGCTTCAGCTTATGCAGTTGACTCAGTCTTCTTTCGCTTTAGAGAATAACCTGAGAACACAACAGGACATTGAAGACAAAATTAGATTTTTTGAATTGGAGGCAGATAGCTTGTCCTTAATGACTGAGGTCAGTCACAATTCAGCAAGGGTTGTGTAAACATTCGCTGTTAAGTATGAATTGTGAATTAAGAAATAACATCCAATAATTTGCAGCTAGGTGCTTTACTATTTTTTTTCCCATTAGCCTTTCAGAAGTATAACAGCTGATGGTGATAATCATGTAAAGGAATGCCTGTTCAAAAATGTCAGGATGTGGGTAGTTGCAAGCTATCTTAGGGGTCATCTCCTCTGTCACTCCAATACAATAGGAATTCTGCAGTTAAAGGATTAATTAAAACATTTTTGTCTGCTTAAGATAGTTCTCGGCTTAACATTTGTTTAGTGACCATTGAAACTCTGCCCATTAATGCGCCTTGCAGATGTCATCTTGACTTTCGTGACCACATCTATGAATACTTTTTCTGCTCCAAACAGTAGCCGTCCCACCCCAAAGGCTAGCTCCGGAAACTCTTAACTAATTTTACTTACTGAGCCAACCAAATCTAAAAGTGAAAGGAGTCTCTGACTTTGAGAAGATGTGTTTCACCTAGGGCAGTGTTTCCCAAACTTGACAATTTTAAGGCATGAGGACTTCAACTCCCAGAATTCCACAGCCAGCGTTGCTGGCTGTGGAATTCTGGGAGTTGAAGTCCACATGCCTTAAAATTGTCAAGTTTGGGAAACACTGACCTAGGGCAGGGGTAGGCAACTTTGGCTCTTTTATGACTCGTGGACTTCAACTCCCAGAATTCCTGAGCCAGCATGGCTCAGCTTGGAAACCTCTCCCTTTCCCCTCAGCATGGCTGGCTCAGGAATTCTGGGAGTTGAAGTCCACGAGTCATAAAAGAGCCAAGGTTGCCTACCCCTGACCTAGGCCATTGCCCTAAAGTTGCATTCCTGGATGGGATTTCACCATCCTGTTTAGGAGAAAACTCACCCCATCTCAGAAGGACGAGCTGCATTGGGGGGGGGAAAAAACAAGCATTTATAGTACTTGACTTACAACCATTTGTTTAGCGAACATTTGAAATTACAACAGCCCTGATAAAAGTGACTTACGACTGTTTTTCACACTTATGACTGTTGCATCATCCCCATGGTCATGTGACCAAAATCAGGACGCTTAGCAACTGGCATGTGTTTATGTCTGTTGTAGTGCCATGGGATCATGAGATCACTTTTGTGACCGTCTGATAAGGAAAGTCAATGGGAAAGGCAGATTCCCTTGACAACCGTGTTTGCTAACTTAACAACTGCAGCGATTCACTTCACAGCTGTGGCAAGAAAGGTCATAAAATGGGGCGAATCTCACTTAACAACTGTCTCACTTAGCAGCAGAAATGTTGGGCTCAAGTCGAGGAACATCTGTATTTGCAGTTAAGTCTGAATGCTTTTTAAGCTACTGTAAAACTGAAACTTGTGTTTCCCGCATTTTCTCGTAGGTTATGGGAGAAGATCTTGTTCCGGAAAAGCTGAAAGGAGACGCTCAGGAAGAGGTTAAATGCCTCTCTTCAGCAGCCTTACCATCCATCAGGACTGCATCCACCGTGGAGTTTGAAAGAAAATGGTTCCAGAAACTCAAAGATTGCTCTTCTCACATGGACTGTCCGACGTAACACCCAAAATGGCTGCACCGAAGTGCTTCTTCAGTATTTCAGTTCTGTTTAACTCATCTGTTGCAAGCCCTTGTGTGGAAGCAGCTTAAAGGTCTCCACAATGGGCCACCTGTCTTTTAACAGAATAACAGAAGGGACCTTGGAGATCTTCTAGTCCAGAAGTGTCAAACACAAGGCCCGTGGGTTAGGATTAGAGTTAGGGTTATTGAGCTGGACACCCCGTTCTAGTCCAGCCCCCTGCTCAAACAGGAAAAACCCTATACCATTCCAGACAAGTGGTTCAGCTTTCCAAGAGAACATATGAACAGGAACTCAGCCCTTCCATTGTATCTCTGTGCATATTGGAGTGTTTTTACCATTGGGAAGAATGAGCCATTTCATTTGAAAAGCACTTTAACATCTGGCCCTTCTTATGCCTGTTTTTGCCAGCTGTGGTGCCATCACTGTTTCTCTATAGACCTTGCCCATCCTTCCTCCCCATCTTTTAATTGAGGCTCGGTAATTGGATCTTGACAGTATTTTATATCTTTTAGGTTTTGCATAGTTTTTATCTGTTTAAGATTGTAAGCTGCCCAGTTACCCTGTGGATGGATGGATGGATGGATGGATGGATAGATAGATTAGAGAGAGAGACACACACACACACAGACAGACAGACAGACAGATAGATTCTGTTCAATAGACTTTTAATTCACCATTCAAAAAACGTTAAGTCAACAGAGAACAAGAATTTTTGCACATTATTACTACTTTGGAAATGATACATTAATATTTTGAATGAATAAAAGTGTAAAAACAGTTGACTTGAGAGGGTGGGGCAGGGTGCCCCTGAGCAGTTAGCTCTGCGGGTAACTTAAGTTTAATCCATATAAGTAGTCCTCAACAATTCATTTAGTGATAGTTTGAAGTTATACTGACACTGAAAAGAGTGACATGAACATTTTTCATACTAAATGACCGTTGGAGAATCCTAATGGTCACATGATCAAAATTCAGATGCTGTCATAAAATGCAGTCATGTAACTGCAGGATGCTGCAAATTGCTGAATGTTTGAATTTTGGTCACTTGAGCGCAAAGGGGGCCTTACTGTCAGAATTTTGGATTCAGGGCATAAGTCCCCTTTTTGGGTCAGTTGCAATCTTGAAGAGTCACTAAGTGACTGATCATAAGTCAAGGACTACTTGTATATACACACACCGGCACACAAAAACACAAACAAACCCTTTCTAAGTAATTTAAGGGAGACTTTATTGAGAAATCAGCTTAAGATTGGTGCCTCTAGTATATAACAATCTTATCCTCAAATTTGATTTGAAAAGCTAAATAATATACTTGTAATATTGTCTTCCAAATTTTAATACCAATAAAATATTTTTCCATCCCTTTTTAGTCTCAATATTCTAAGCTATTTGTACAACCAAATGTTAACAATTTCTAATCATATTATGCAAATATCAATGGACAGAACAATACCAGCTACTAAGATTTATAACCATAATAAAAAGGGAAGGAAAAGCATTAAAAAATGCCATCTTTTGTCTTTTACTGATTTGACTGCAATTTATTTCTTTGATGGTTGTGAGTCACGCAGAATTTCTGGAACTTGGGCAAGATACACGTTTAATTTAAAAACATCATCATCATGACAAAAGGCAGATACTCTGGTCTTCGTTCACAGGGCTGGTATATGCGGGGTGACCACTAGAGGGCAGCAGAGGGCTGGAGTCCTCTAACGGCTGCCCTCTAGCGGGCATCTAACATTGTGCTGCCTATTGTTTGTTGCCTGGTCGATCCTTGCTTGCCTTTCAAACCCAGCCGAAGTAGTCAAATTGCCGTCCCTCGTTGCCCTGGCTCACCGCTCCCTCGGTGGTCTAGACCTGGACACAATATGCAACCCTTTACCCACCCGCATTCCTTTCATTGCATTTTTCTCCCGAGGGGGTGGAGAACGTGGGAACGGTTTGTTGGGAGGGCGGGAGAGGCGGAAATCTTACCTACCTCCCATCCATTCATTCCGGGGCTGTTTCTCACCGACGCAACTTATTTCTCTACAGAGGAGAAATTTTACTTTCCTGCTTGATACTTAAATACGTTAAGCCTGTGGAAGATGCGATTCTCCCCCCCTTTTTTAGTTAAGGAATTAGGACGTCGCTTCTGCAGAGTTTTCCTCTTTATCAGGAGATTTTCTACCTTTCTCTACATGCGCCTCGTTAGCGCAGTAGGCAGCGCGTCAGTCTCATAATCTGAAGGTCGTGAGTTCGAGCCTCACACGGGGCAATGCAGCTTTTTCGGCCCGAGAAGAAATTAAAATAACCACTCATTGGACCCTAGGTAAGGAGACCCCTGGTGCCATCCCAACGACCTTATATTTCGAGTGCAAGCGCCTAAACCAACTTCCGGGAGATGGCAGAATTGGGCAGAAATGGCTTTTTGCCTCTGCCAACTAAGAATTTAATCCATACTTAAGTATATTTCTTACACATTTACTTCTGTGCACACGTGCACTTGCACTACATTTTTCTTTTGTTAAAAAAAAGATATTCTGGCATTTATTTTAGGAACTAACATTTGGATTTGCTGTAACTTAGATTGCTTTTCCTTCAAACAGGTTTGTGATTTTCAGCCAAAGTGCCAGATATTTTTTTTTTTAAAAAAAATGTCCCTATCTTTTATCACAGCAGTCTTTGGATCTTTTATTTTAGATAAGATAGCCTTTATTGTCATTTTTTAACTGTGGGCACACTGGCGCACATTAAAAATGAAATTCTGTTGTCTGCTCTCAAAAGTATACACATACACAACACATTTTATTCAAAAGATATATGCAGAAATCCTTTGATGTTTTCTTAAGCAAAAAAAAAAACGTGACAAATGAATTGAAGCAGTGATTCTCAATCTCAACAATTTTAAGACAGGTGTACTTCAACTCTCATGGCTGACTGAGGCATTCTGGGAGTTGAAGTCCATACATCTTAAAAGGCTTGTAGCTTTCATTCCCAAAGAACACCACACTTGGTTTTTGTGATAGCTAGCCTGCGATGCTAAATGTTGGATAATTTTTAATAAGGTGGATGAAAACTTTCCTTCTAGCCATCTTTAATATTTCAAAATAGGATTCATGTACTAAGATAAGTACATGGTGCATCTTTGGGGTTTCTGGAGAATGAATGTTGTCACTAGGCCCATAAATCCTGGCTTCTGGGATTCACAAATGGCAGCCATTTCAGGTGTGAACGACACTGGAAGCCAGATGCCTCTTAGGGGATGGGCCCTGTGCAGTGGTAGCATTCAAATATGTGGAACAACCAGTTCTCTGTATGGATGCTGCTTCCGGAAGTCTATTCTGGGCCTGGGCAACAAAAAATTAGCTATCTGCCAAAGTGGTGCGAACTGGCTGAATCCCACCACTGGCCCTGTGTACTTATTATCCACAATGTTGATCAGAACTGTACAATCACAGCACAATCAAGAGGTTTAGTAGACAAATCCTTTCACAAGGCTACAGTTTGCAGTTGTGACATCCCTCAGAATGGCTGCCCAGCTTTCTCTCGGTCAAAGAACTCTTCCATTGCGATTTTTCTATTTAGGATACAGCAACCAAAATGGATGCCCACCAGGGGATAGCATTGACCAACCTTGGGGGCTTCTGAAGTTAAGTAGGGCCAGGCTGGGCTGGCATTTGGGTGGGAGACCAATGTAGAGCTGTTGGTTTCACTGTGAGGCTGAAACAAAAAAAAAAAAAGCATCATAGAGCAGACGTCTTCTGGGTTATGGCCAAAGTAATGACCTGGATGTGTCAAAATGATCTCCAAGGAGGCTTTATTGGCCTGGGGTCAGTATGATTGCAAGTGGTCAGGTTCAGGCTGCCACTAGAAACCTAAACTAAAGATGATCTTTGGAATGGATTTCAGAGGGCTTATTCAACAATGCACAAGTGCAAATGCAACAAGCAATTGTCTCCTAGAAATGCTTGAAATCAAGTCTATTTCCAAGCTCAAGTAGATGTACAACAGGTATGCCAACATGCAGCAATTTTTCCCCAATGTGTCACTCTCCAAACATTACTCCTGGCATCTCCTCGTCTGAACTTCCTTTGCTAAATCACGTCTGTAAAATCCTAATGATCCTTTTGTATTAAGCATTCAGGGTTTAAACAGGATTTAGTGCTATTAATTTTTTTTAAAGCCTCAAATCAGCTGCTACAAGACCAACAGACCAAGATATCAACAGAAATAAAGCCATTCCTGAAGGGAAAAAAAATCCCCACCCATTGTTTTTTCAGTTCTTACCTATCGGCAATTCTGTGACTTGAAGATAGATTGCAACTCTTTATTTAAAACTGATTCAAACTGCTGGCTAAAAGTTTAAAAGATCCAATGTTTGTTCAAATGTTTTATTTTTATATACAAAAATAATTCTAAAAAGTATTTTGAAAACATGATACAAAATCAATCTTGTCTTCCCGGAATCTCATTGAACAAGACCATGGACAGTTGGATCAGGACTCTTCAGCTCTCACTGGGCATCTGGTGGTAATCCTGGCTTCCCCCGAGCGTGAGACATGAGCTTCTTTCTGAGTTGTCTAACTTCAGCCATTATTTCCCGTTCTTTCGATTCCAGCTCCTGCCGTCCCCGGTCTAAAGAGACTTGAAAGGTGAAAGAAGGAGTTCTTAAAAATGATAGGTTACAACAGGGGTATTCAACCTTGGCTCTTTTATGACTCGTGGACTTCAACTCCCAGAATTCCTGGGAGTTGGAGTCCACGAGTCATAAAAGAGCCAAGGTTGACTACCCCTGGGTTACAACATCAGCATCACAAGCTCAGTGACTATATCTTGTAAGACCCAAGAAGCATCCAGCTGTTTTATTTTGAAAGGACAAATATTCCTAGAGATTCTATAAGCAATCCCTATTCCAGTGATGGCGAACCTTTTAGACACCGAGTGCCCAAAAACTGTCCTGCCCCCGCCCCCCCCTGCCCCCCCCATTCTGTTCCCCACTCCGTCCCCGTCATCTGCACGCGACGGGGTGTGAGGGTGGAGTCTTGTCCTGCTACCCGGCTGCCATGTCCTTGATTGTGCTGCTCTGCATGAGCTGCACCTGGGGGTGACTCTCCTCCAGAGGGGCTGCTGGTGAGGAGGGGGCTGCGGGGGGAGGCAGTGTTGGGGCAATGGCACGTGTGCCCATAGAGAGGGCTCTGAGTGCCGCCTCTGGCACACGTGCCATAGGTTCGCCACTATTGCCCTATTTTATAAGGAAGGGTATCTATCTATCTATCTATCTATCTATCTATCTATCTATCTATCTATCTATCTATCTATCTATCTATCTATCTATCTACCTACCTACCTATCTATCTATTTATCATCTATCTATCATCAATCAAATTTATTTTCTGCCCATCTCATGGTTTAGGCAATTCAGGGTATGTTGAGGGTTGCGTCTATTGTGGATGTACATCTGGTAGGATCACGAAAAAGGGTCTTTTCAGTGGTGACTCCTTCTCTATGGAACATCATTCCCCTAAGTAAGATTGGCTCCCCACTTTGTTGCTTTTCCAAAAGGCTGCAAAGACCATTTTGTCAGTGGGCATGGGGACCACAAATGGAGATGATGTGATCAATCGGTTTATTTATGTGGCTGTTGCTATGGGGAGAAGGGGGGGAACGTTTTATGGATTTTTATTTTTATGGATTTTTAATGTTGTAAGCCGCCTGGAGTTAACCTGTGTGTGAGTTAGGCAGCCATATAAATTTGCATAATGAAATAAATAAAAGCAAACAGAACTTAACCATCCAAATGGACTCCGGAGAAGAAATATACAATTATTCAGGAGAGATTTTTTAAAAATAAATCACTGTCCTTCTATTGCTGATTCAAGAAGCTTGGATCATATCTGGATCTGAGGAGCTGTAGAACTTGCAATCCCAATGCACCTGAACAGCACCAGGGTGGGGAAACTGAATGCACCCTGATTTCAATCTTGTCGTTTGTATAGAACAGTGGTTTTCAACCTTTCTAATGCCGCGACCCCATAATACAGTTCCCCATGTTATGGTGACCCCCAACCACTTATACATCACCGGGTGCCAGGGGCATGGCCAAAGAAAAGGGGGGAAAAATGGCGGACAGCCTTGTTTGGTGACCCCCGTGAAATGGTCGTTCGACCCCAAATGGGGTCCCGACCCACAGGTTGAGAACCACTGGTATAGAAGAAGGAAAGTGACCTTGATGGAGAATTTAAGTTCAAAACAAGCAGAAATTATGTGAAAGAGGCTCAGACAGACACTTCCCTAATTCACATGAGTATAAGAAGGGGAGGAAGTACAACCCCAATCAGATATGTTATTACAGCTCGTCTTAATAAAAATAGTTTTAACCTTCTCGAGGAGTTGATTCCTAATTTGGTTTACATCTTTCCACTTTCAACAAACTATTTGATTGCAGGTATTATGGCTACCAACAACAACAGATACAAGAGCAGATTATCACACCTAATATTTTCTCCTTCAAAACCCATGTTTTGCCACTTACAGTGGATGGAA